AATAAGTGTTTTAATCAAATAGATTGTTTCAAATTTTCTATATTATACATGACTTTCAAACATGTGTTTGTTTCTTCTTCTATATTTTATTGTTTGTTAGATTAGTATTTCATTTTTAGATAAAGTAATATAAATAGAGCTTGATTAAATATTAGTGTAATTTAATTTGCAAAGATAATATAAACTTCGAAGATTTTTTGGCTAAAAACTAAACTTATAGCTTCATAAATTAATATTATAAAAATTTTATTAAAAAGGAACTTTTTAAACAATTTCTTTTTTTTTTAAACAATACAATTTTAAAATTTTATATCGAAATAAATTTATCTAATATATATAACGTGTAAATTTTGTTAAGGCATATAAATATTACATATTAATAATCTGTGATTTTTGTTAATATATTCTGGATGCATTTAACTATTATTGACATATTTCCTTATAAATAATAGAAGATTCCTAAATTTATATCTATTGACATATTTTGCGTGACTAAATTGGAAGGTGTGGGGTAATTTACCAAAACAAAATTGTTAAGCATATTATAAGATAAAATAATGATAATATTATTAGAGAGTTAATGTAACATAACTTTCTAGTAACAGTCCATTTTTTAAAAAATCATACATGAAATCAAGTCATGACTTCTGTTTTAATATATAAGATACAATTTATATAATTTTAAAACTCCTGTCTTCTAAATGTTTAAATATGTCGGAGTTTCTGATTGATGTTCTAAGAGTATGGTGAAATAATATAAGTGTCGAATACTAACCATATACAAGTATGGAGTGGTTTGTTAACAACGTAACTAGTTATCTGACTACTAAAATTTAATTTTACTGGAGTACTATGTATTTAGTATTAACACATTTTACAAATAGAGTCTTACCCCCCCCCCCCCCTTTTTTTCAAAACCTGTGTTTCAAAAAGAAAGTGTTAAAAAAGAGAGAGTCGTACCCTAGTTTTAAATGCATTATTGTTATCGCTTTTACATTCTAGTAAATCAAATACTGTATATTAATATTGTGTTCTAAATAGAAATAATACTGTGAAATAACTACAAATAATAACTGTAAAATAATAATTAGCCATCGTATCTATTATGTAAAATTTGATTAATTTCATATGCATGATGATCAGTACTGATCGGTAGACTAAAATTACCAATAGAAAACGTACGGTAGCATTATCTTTTGGAGAAGGGTAGAGTTTTCAACGATTATCACAAAACAGTGGCAAATCCAACACTGTGAAATTATTTTTTTTTAGAACTTTTGATTAGTGATAACTCACCCAATCCAGGTTGACAATTTATTAGTTTATTTATACAGTATATAATTAACATTAGTTGATGACTAATTCAAAGGTAGCATTAGCCGGAAAATACACCGTATTTATTTCAATCATAAAAACAAAAGAGTATAGTTTAGATCGATATGGACGTCTACAAATAAAAACATAGCTATTTGGTAATTCTGAACTGTATTAAACAATATATACTCCGCAAAAATAAAAACGCATGTTTTTGGTCTGTTTTGTCTATGAACAGCTGACTTTTTACTTTGTAGGACTTTTTCATTGACTTAATTAGATCTCTTTTCTCTCACAACTCAATATATATTTTTGTTTTAAAATCTCGCGCCTAATAGGTCACGTACCTTGGAAACTCAGCAAGTGTAAATGCATATGGACCAACACTGGTCTGACTATTGAACTGATATATTAAAAAACAATAAAATCGATCTTCCGCTCCGATTCGCACTATAAATATAGAGGAGAACCAAGCACAAATGGAACCAAACCAAAGTTGCTCGTTAGTTCTTTCAAAACCAACAAAAGGACTTCGATGGCAACTCACTCAAGAATTTTATACGTGCTTCTTCTTCTTTCATGCATTGCTTTTGCATTGATTGCGGAGAGTTCTGGAGATAATGTGGAGAATAACAATGAGGATGATGAGTGTTCTTCCTGGAGTTGGCGTGGATGCGGCAGTTTTTATAGACAGCCTTCCAAAAGATATGGTGCTGGATATGGTGGTGAAAGGTATGGCCATGGAGAAAGGTATGAAGCTGGTATGAATGGTGGTGGCTATGGTGGTGGTGGTGGCGGAGGAGAAGGTAGTGGTGCCAATGGAGGATCAGGTCATGGAAGCGGATCTGGCGCGGGCGCTGGTGGAGCAGCAGGTGGAGCAGGAGGAGGTGGAGGAGGTGGGGGTGGAGAAGGTGGTGGTTCCAATGGAGGATCAGGTCGTGGAAGTGGATCCGGTGTAGGTGCTGGTGTAGGAGTTGGTGGAGCAGGAGGAGGTGGAGGCGGTGGGGGTGGAGAAGGTGGTGGTTCTAATGGAGGATCAGGTCATGGAACTGGATCTGGCGCTGGTGCTGGTGTCGGAGTTAGTGGAGCAAAGGGTGGAGCAGGAGGAGGAGGAGGTGGAGGAGGCGGGGGTGGAGAAGGTGGTGGTGCCAATGGAGGATCAGGTCATGGAAGCGGATCCGGCGCTGGTGCTGGTGCTGGTGCCGGAGTTGGTGGAATATCAGGTGGAGCAGGGGGAGGTGGAGGAGGAGGGGGTGGAGAAGGTGTTGGTGCAAATGGAGGATCAGGTCATGGAAGCGGATCAGGCGCGGGTGCTGGTGTCGAAGTTGGTGGAGCTGGAGGAGGTGGAGGAGGTGGGGGCGGAGAAGGTGGTGGTTCAAATGGAGGATCGGGTCATGGAAGCGGTTCTGGTGCTGGTGCTGGTGTTGGAGTAGGTGGAGCAGGAGGAGGTGGAGGTGGTGGCGGAGAAGGTGGTGGTGCTAGTGGAGGTTCTGGTCATGGAAGCGGATCCGGTGCTGGTGCTGGTGTTGGAGTTGGAGTTGGTGAAGCTGGTGGTGGAGCAGGAGGAGGTGGAGGTGGTGGCGGTGGCGGAGAAGGTGGTGGTGCCAATGGAGGATCCGGTCATGGAAGTGGATCCGGGGCTGGTGCTGGTGTTGGAGTTGGAGGCGTAGGAGGAGGTGGTGGTGGTGGCGGTGGAGAAGGTGGTGCCAATGGAGGTTCTGGTCACGGAAGCGGATCCGGTGCTGGTACTGGTGTTGGAGCAGCGGGTGGAGCAGGGGGAGGTGGTGGTGGTGGTGGAGGTGGAGGAGGAGGAGGAGGAGGTTCTGGTTCCGGCAATGGATATGGTTACGGTAGTGGTTTTGGTGCTGGTTTTGGTATGGGTAAAGGTGGTGGTAGTGGAGGCGGTGGCGGTGGAGGTGGTGGTGGTGGTGGGGGTAGCGGTGGAGGAAGTGGAAGTGGAAGCGGAAGAGGAGAAGGATATGGGACGGGAGGAGGAACCGGTACAAGCAATGGAGGAGGAGTAGGTTTTGGAATGGGCATTGGCTTTGGTATAGGCATTGGAGGAGGCAGTGGTGGTGGTACCACTTATCAAACCAATATCAACGGAGATAAAACTTCCCCTTAAGGAATATGGAGCGAAAGATATCTATCTCAGTGTCAACTCCAATTGATAAGGATTTTTCGTTTTAATTTTTGATTTTTAGTTATTTTATGTAATAAATCTCATCGATAAAATCATGTACGATGAATTCATTTTCCCACATAATAAAAATTACAGGACTTTGTTTTAACTTAGGTAAAACGTACGCCATGCAGTATGTTGTAGCAATGTAGCGCCACATATATTAAAATAGATTCATGTTTTATTGATAAGTTTTTTCTTTACAATTGTTTATTGAGTATTAAAGTAGTACTATATCACAACCTTAACTTAGGAACGTAATTTATATATTTTGGAAATCTCGATTACTTATATTGTAAATGTTTATTAATCTAGTTATCAATATTAATATTTAACTGTGCCCTACGAATAATCGTAGACCCGATCATCTAAAGTAATCAAAATGTTACGTGTTGTGGATGACATTTATTGTCCCTAGATAATAGCTGAGAGACTGGGAAAGACTCACCTTAACCCCAATTTTAATTACTTGAGCTATACGGATCTCCGACCCCACACAACTTCTGAGTGATGCTATCAATTTTGCCTCATCATAGTTTCCAAGTAAATATTGTTTAAACACGTTGTTTAAGAGCGCTTAAATATACTACTGGAACAAAACAATGTTAAACAAAATAAAACCAAACATATATCATACAGTAGACAATTGGCATCTAAGTCTATCAAGGCTATACATGACTTAAGATACTTACTACATCCTGTAATGGATAATTAGGGATTTTCAATTGCTAAATTTACATGGAGTTCTGTTACTGTTGTGTCTGATCAGCATATGATTCTCAAGGACAAGAAGGTATTATACCTCAGATACTAGTCAGCCTCAACCGCCTCACCATCACTCCCGGCTCTAACCCATGGCAACATGGGCAATTGCCATGGGTCCAAAAAAATTTAGTGTTATTTTACAAATTAACATAGGTCTATTTTGTTGATAAAAAAAAACATAGGTCTATTTTTACTTGTTAAATTATCAATTAGTTGGTGAAATTCTAATAAAGAAGTCTATAATTAACTAAACATAATTTAAATATAATAATAAAAAAAAATTACACTTAACCATTCTCATTTTTCATTAACAAAACTTAATTTAAACACAAAAACTCATTTTTTTTTCTTTGAATACCACATTTTTTTGCTTTAATTTAAGGAAATACAATAAATAAATATCGAATTTTTTTTTATAAAAGAGTCTTTATTTTATATTTCGCCTAAGGCAAATATTTTTTCTAAGACGGCCCTGCTCACCATCCTCACCACCAATGTGCTCCTCGTTGCTTTTGCGATTCACCTACCCCCTCCGGGAAGCCTGATCGGCGATAGAGCTGATCTTACTTGTTTAATGGGCTGTTTAGCCAAATTCTAGATCTTCTTCCGACAATTTTTCCCTCGACCAAACCTCATCGTTTGACTATATCAACATCGTTTTTGACTATGACAAGCTCTTTGGAGCTTCCACTTCAGGGATACAAATGAAGACAATCTTTGGATTTCTTTACTTTGAGCAAGCCTCTCCTCTTAACATTTCTATCTTAGGATTTATCGTTTCGCTTTTGTTCATCGTACCATCAAGTGATTTTCAATTGCTAAATCATAGCAAGCGCGAGTTCAGTTTTGAGCTTCTTGTATCTCAATGATCTCACCTGCTATCGATGATTCAATCTTATTTTTTGAGTTCACACTCTCCATAATTCCCAAGCTTTTGTGCTTGATCACAAAATTCTTCTTATGGTAGTTCCACAAATATCATCTCTCACTTCGAAATAAAAACATTCAATCACATTAATTCTTCCAAAGATAATATCGTTGTAATATTTAGGCATACAGCATAAACAAACTTTCTTTAGTGCTAGCCAGTTCGTTCGTTCGTACTTCGTTGAACCAATGGTTAGTTAATCAATAGCAAGATCACAGTATGTGCACGAAGAATTTAAACGTTTAGAACAAAAGTGCAAATACCTTTATTATAGAATATCAAGTAGTAAAATCAAGATCATCTAGGTATTTGAAGAAAAAATATTTTTATTGATATCAAGTACCGACAAAAACGTTGATCTTACATGAAGAACAAGAGGAAAAACATGTTCTCAAAGACCCTTCTTGTTTACGACCAAACTCCAAACCGAGAATACGAATAATTATACACATCCAGAACTCAAAACAAAGTACTAATAAAATAAAATCGACCAACAAAACCAGATTGCTATTATTGCCTATATATTGTCACCGTTGCTAGTGGCCAGATTGGTATTATTGCTGTTATTATTCTGATGACTGGAACCGTTAATAATGGACGTAATCGCTGCCGCTAAAGCCGCCGCAAAGTTTGGATCGGACGCAATCGCTGCACTGGCGGCATTAACGTTCTCGGCCATCGAAGAAGTTGCCGCCATCTGCAGCGGCTGAGCCGGTAATTGTAAACCAGAAAATTTGGATTGTTGTTGGTTATAATACAAACCTTGCCCGACCACTTGAGGCAAAACCGCCGGGTTGAAACCAGGTCTTTGGGCGAACTGCATCAACGGGTTGTTAGTGGTCATGTTCGGGTTGTTACCGTTGGATGAATTGGTGAGGTCCAGTGTAATGGTTGGGAACGGCGCGGAGGCTGAGATTGTGGCCATGCTTGAGGAACAAGGCAAGATGGCTCGAGCTAGGAGGTTTGTAGGGTTCATTAAATTGTCTTGGCTAGACATTGAGCCCGAGAGGAGCATGCTTGCGGCTGCGGTGGTTGTTGAGGCCATGGCCATTGCGGCAGGTGGAAGCGGATGGTTGTGGTTTCCTTCGTAGGTGGTTATGAGAATAGTTCTGTCTTCTGCGCAGCGTTGCACCTGTTAAAACATTATTGGTTAAGGTTTCCTTTGTTTCAAGTGCAGCTTCTATAAGTTTATTGGCGACTGTAAATGTAAGAGCAAACGTACTTGCTTACGAACAGGACATCCACCAGCCATCGTGCAGCGATAATAAGCTCGTGGACAAGGGTTTCCTTTAGCCATTTTTTGTCCGTACTTTCTCCATTGACATCCATCGGTTATCTGTTAACAGCATTAGTACATTATTACCATCTTTTATAAAAACAACCTTATAATGTCCTCTCCGTTCTAAAATATATATGTTTTGGTGTTTTCACATATTAAAAATATTAATTATAAAAATATTATTTTTCTTTTATACAATTTTAAATCAATAGAAATTCAATAAATACAATTTTTAAAAATTTACAATGTATCATTATATTACCTTCAAAATTGCACAAAAATTTGAAAATTATGTATATTTTTAGATATTTTAAAAAACATTCATCGAGTATGAGTTAGTGTTACCATGGTTGCTTCAGACCGGGCGCGAACCGAGACACGGGCTTTTCGCATGGTGGCTTCCGCAGCAGACTGATCAATCAGGTTTCTGTTTCCATTGTTGTTGTTGTTATTGCTACCGGAGGGTGGATTGTGTTTGGGGACTTTGTTAGGGTTTCCCCAGGCGTTAGACTCGGATTCCGGGCTTTCTTCTCTCCCAAGTAACCTCTTACCGCTCTCTCGGGGATTTGAATCCTCCAGAAGCAAAGGAGGAGATCCCGAACGCAGTATTGTCCTCTCTTCAGATGACACTTCAGTATCATGCTCGGCTGCGCCAGAAGACGGTCCTAGGTCCATGAACTGCCTTGGCACCATGGTTTGCACTTCTTGCCGTTTCCTTCCTTCTACGCTGCCTTCCGTAGCCTATATATGAACGTTAATGAAATCTTAAACTTTATGCTTGATATATATATATATATATATATATATATATATCTGTATATTAACTTTTTGCACTTTTATATTTATTAGTTGGCTGAGGAATGATATGTAGACCAAGAATTTTGTGTTTGTGCTTGTGTTGCAATTGTGGAAATAACAATTGTAGAGAATTGTTTTTAGTATTTAGGCCCCATGTGCCAACGTTATGTACGATTTAAGTGTATCCTCAAATGTATAGCCATCATAACGAACCAAATGTAAAAGAGTTGGTGCAGATAAAAGTTTACATCAACGACAACAAAAACCATTGACCAACTATAAAAACATGTTGGTTGTCCACATGGTTTACTTGTTAGTTGTTATTGGCATGGTTTAATGAATAACTTGATTGCTCAAATATATTAGAGAGAACAGTTTGCGATCTATCAAGTAAAACTCCAAAAGCCTAAAAGGCAGATGTAAAATTACCAACAGATGATCTTGGGAGGAGTTGCGTTGTTCTTGTTGCCTCATGACGGCAACAAGTTGCATTTGTAAGGAATTGAAGTTGTTGGTAGCTTGGCTCAACATTTCCCTTAGCCTTTGGTTCTCTATTTTCATCTTCTTCAGCTCCTCTTGCAGTTGTGCGTTCTTCATTTCATTTATTGCAACACAAAACATATTAAAACCTCTTTCCTCAAAAAATTTAATATATTCATACAAAATGTACATTTTAGAGAAAAAGCTACATTACTTGTGGATTTTCATTTTTACTTTTATTGTTGAAGAAGATACGATTAATTTTTTTGTGGAGTTAATTAGGAAAGGAAAAGGAAAATATGTGATCAACTTTTTATATTTTAATATGTACCTCAAACTTTGCACGTTTATCTTCCATATCCATTGACAGTCCATCATCCACCGTTGATTCATCGCTTCCCGTATTCGCCGTCAGAAGATTCAGCCCGATCTGTAGTAATATATTCACACCATCTTAACTCATAAACAAAATTCAACTCATCTCCCTATGTTAATAATAAATCAATTCTAATTGTTACTAGTGCTATGAGCACTCTCATCCCAGCAAGCCAGGAAACAAAATTCTAACAAACATATAAGAAAATAAAATAACCAAGATCAGAAAAAGAATCAATTATACTTACATTTACATCTCTAGAACGATCGTTGTCTTCAACTCGTGAACTTTCCATTTTGACGTCAGCCTTATTGGCTTCGTCCTCTTCGTTGTCGTTGATGTTCTCACGTGAAACCCTATTATCAGAGAAGAAGTCAACCTCACCAACCACTACACGACGTTCATCCAGCGGTGTGATCTGATCGTGACGGGTTTCGTCACGTGAACCGCCTAGACTCACCGGAAACCGGAACATCTAAGTCTATTTAATACTAATTAGTATTATACTATGGTTTGCTTTGTTCTTGATCGGATTCTCCGAACCCTAGTTAGGAAGAAAAAACGGATAGGTACTTTTGGGTAATCAATCCAGTTTGTTGGTTCCGTACAGTATCGTTGTACCCTTTTAGTGCTTCTCCATATATAGGAAGATCAAGAAGATAAAGAGATATTAGAGCGAAAGAAAGATAGTTTGATATGTGGCTATGATGGATGAGAGAGTTTCTTACCGGTCCAGATGCTTCGCCTACTAAAAGGGTTTTGACGTCGACTGAGAGATATATCTTATTATTTTAGTTTTTAATTATATATAGATTTTATGAATGTATCTATGTTTGTGTATATTGAGTTTTTGTTTAAAATATTATTAGATTCTTTTTAGAAATTTCTTGGAGATTTCTAGCTAAAAAGCGTCAGGGTATGCGTCATTTGTCTGCCAACTGACATTTAAGAGAGACGTGAGTCCTATACTTTAACCAGACAACATTGCGAAATGTCCAACTAAGAGACCTCACAGTTTTGACCAAAAAAAAAAAAAAAGAGACCTCACAGTTTACACGTTTACTTATTCTTTTGTTATATTTTTGATTTGAGAAATGGTGTGAACTACGTGTTGTTTCAATTATGAATACTAGCTGATAAAAGCTAAGACTGCCTCTTGGTTTCATTCTGTATATTTCAACACCATACTGTTTGTTTTAAATTATTTGATAAATTTGTTTTTTTGTCTACATTAGTAGGGGAACTCTCAGACGTGTTCGATCCGTGGTTTAGATGAATCAAATCTACTATTTTAAGATATCTCAGTAATCTCAAACTTGTGTTCTTAAAAATGATTTATTTTAACTAATTGGGATTTTAAAAAAAAAATTTAAAAAAACTTATTGAACATGTCAATATACCCAAAGAAATTGAATGCGGCGAAAAGCAGGTGATTTGTAGAAACAGCTATTTTTATCAAATTAAATCAGTTGTGATTGAATTATTATTTTTTATTCTTTCCTTATTTCAGAAAATCTTTTTGACTATTTCTGATAATCAAAATATTAGACCAATTGATAGAAGAAGAAAAAAAACACCGCTAGCAACTATATCGGCACTTTTCACGTGATTGGGATTTTTTTTATGGCAAACTAATATTCTTGCAACATATTATTTTGTCGGAAAATTCTTAGAGCTAATTATAGTTTATTTTTGTTGAGACCCGAATGCTCTAATTATAGAGCATATAATTTTTTCGGAAAATTCTTAGAACTAATCGGCACTCTATAACTAATTTTACGCACTTTTTGTTGCATATATAAGAATTTCATCGGATTTATAATCGAACTTGTGATAAGTCCAAATGCAAGTTAGGTCGAATCTAAAGTAGGTTTATGTGGCGTTTAGAAACAAAATTCTGTGTAAATAATAATTCATCCTTTCATACATCTTGCCGGCCAAAAAATGAACGTTTAAATTTTTTCAAAAAAAAAAAAAAATGAACGTTTAAAGGACTTTTTGCCATATTATTTAACACGCAATTTATTTTGTAATAATATACTAAATAGAGCCAAATTAACCATAAATAAATAAAATGTGACGGGATTGGGTCCGCTCGGCCGGCTTTCCAAATGGGTCCCATGTAGTAGTCCGAGAGTTAACTTACGTTGTTGCCGGTTAATTTGTTGACAAATCATACCGTGGGACCCATTCTCTTCCTTTGACTTTGTTTTGTTTATATCGAGTTCTCTCTATTTCAACTCTTTGGAATTTTGTTTAGCAGAAAAAACATATACGAGTAAACATATAAACATTTACATATACATAGACTAATGACTACTAAATAATTATCGTACATTTTAGATAGATACAGTGTATTCTTCTCTGATCTGTTTGATCTTCAGACTATCTACCTATCCAGTTCGTGGCTAATAACTAGATCTAGTGACTTACATGAGCCATGAGGCATTATTAATCGCAACTGCTGTAAATCGAAACTTAACTATTAGCTACCACTTATTAAAATTTTAGGAAAATTAATCTATTGACCACAGATTGTAAAATAAGTTTAAGGATTAAGCCTAAACAAAGGAAAACTCAAGACAAATAAAATCGGAAACAAAAAAACATGCAAACTTCAAAAAAAAAAGAGATAAATATACAATCAAACATTAAGCAGCTTAAGAATTTGTGTTTAATCGATGTGTGTATAAGTTCTTTGTTTTCATCTTTCTCAAATAGTTTCAATGTGTACAGCTTTCTATAGTCAAATGAATCATTAAAAGTTAATTACTAACACAGTAACACACACTTATAAGAAAATGCTTTTACCAAAAAAATGAAAAGAAAAAACTAATACGACCTCTAGCCATATATCGCCGACATCAGAGGTTCCAAGTCTTCTTTTGCTGCTATACAATAATACGAATTATTTGTAGTTAATTGCATGTCTCTGTCTAACAATAATGTCGTACCAATTTCTTTTGATGTTATATTAAACAAAAACAATCCATTCGACTCAACGATATGATTAATAATAATGTTCTAATATATGTAACTGTAAGAAATGATGTAGTTGTGTAAACACGTGGAAAACTAAAGAACTTAAGTCTTCAGTTTTTGTTTGTGAAGTCAATACCTAATGGATCATCACAAAAGTCCACCTAACATTAATATCAGAGCTATTTTGGACAAACTACATTTCATTCCAGAATAAAAAAACTCACACTCCACTAAGGGAGGAGATGTTCAAAGAGGCTAGAGCTAATTTTGTCACACCATCAGCTTTACTATTGCATAAACAAGGAATAAAAGAGAAGGAAGTTGCATCAAAAGATAAACTGAAATGATAGATATCAAACAAGATGTCAAACAATTCAGACTTCAGAGCTATATTATATAAGAGAGACTATAATGACAAGCCAAAGTAATACCCTATATACAACCTAACAAGTTTTAGACATTTTAATGAATTTATGTGTAGCATTCAAAGCATTTAATTCAGATCCGACTCTTCGTGATGGAAATAGGATTCGTCGGATTTTAATTGGTTTTGGAAATAAGTCTCGATTTGATGGAAATGCGCAGACCTGTCTAATGGCTTTCTGTCTATCTCAGCTAGATCAAATGGTGGTTAGATAAACCGATTTTTTGATAAATACCTTCCTTTGGTCGAGTCTGGCCAAATTTGGTTCTAAACTCTATTTTCTTGGTTTATTTTTGTTGTTCCAACGATCCATCTTTTTTTGGGTCTGATGTGCAGAATCTTATATTATTACAACTTTTAGTATTAACAAAAAGACAAATATAATTGTATAAACCAGGATGACAAATAGAATTGGTTTGGGAAAAAGAAATAGATAATGGTCAAACCAGACCAATTAATAATAAAGGAATATTTAATGGGAATTAGATGAGATTTATTGTGGAATATAAGAACTTAGTCTTTTAATTTTTAACTAAAAAATAAAAACCGGCTCCTAAAGAATCTTCCATTAAACATGTTCTAATGTTGGTTATCTTATAACCAATAACGTTACTAAACTAATAAGACTCGAACCATGCATTCATTTGATATGACTATCTTCCATTTGTAATCTTGGCTATTACGAAAAACTCACCAATTATAAATATGTATACACAAATAATCAATCAGAATATGCATTTGGGAAACAAACTCTTGATGTATATCATCGTTCATAACTAGCAGACCGAAAAATAAGATACATCTTGTGAAAAGAGTATATACACACATGTGACCTTTTCCATTGCATTTGCGATTAGCTCTTCAAATATTAATAACAGGGGCGATTGAGGTAGCAGTTTAGAGGGCCAGCGTCGGCAGTTAGAGAAGGAACCAAGTTCCCTGGAGCGACTTGGAATCCTTGAGCAGAACTATACGGAAGCGCAACGCTGCCGTAACCAGAAGGAACGAAGTAAGCTCCGTTCTTAAAAACGTCTTTTGAAGTTTTCATCTCCAATTGTTCCACCCTCCTTTCACTTCTCTCTTTGTCACCTTTTTATTAAATTGATTATAGGTGTTAGTGGGAATTAGATTTTATATATAGTTTGTTAATTTTAAGAATTGAGTAATTTTATATATTATGAAAATCTATAAAAATAAATTGCTATGATAATTTTAAGAATCTAAAGGATATAAGTGATATTCTCAAAATATTGTTCAATGAGTTAAATAGTTAATAATAGAACTTTTAAAAACACTAAATTTAAGAATTTATGAAATCATTAAAAACCAAAATTTTAAAATAATAAAGAATTTATATTAAGAATTTATATTAAGAATTTATATTAAAATAATAAAGAATCATTAAAATAATCAAACTAATAACACTAGATTTTAGTAAGAGTGTGAGAATCTATAAATCAACACCATTATATTTTAAGATTCTAACCATCATTTGTAAATCTGACTTCTACTAACACAGGCTTAGCATTCTATTTCTATGCATTTATCATAGCCCTTTATCATATAGGTATATTGCACCTATACTTATTCTTCGCCGTATTAGCTTAAAAATTCATCTTGAACCATCTAAAGGTGATCTTAGGTCGAGCGAACCGAAAAAGTATCCAGAATAATTTTCCACTAAAAAAGTCCGGTCATTCTAAAAATGGCATTGAGAGTCAGATTTGGTTCTTGATTCATACGGGCATAATTATATCACTAGGAGGACACAGTAGTACCTCTTTGCTGTTAGAATTATCAGAAGCAATGAAATAGTTGCCTTCACTGAAAATGGTTGGATCGGCGCTACCACCAATTGCATACATTATCCATTTATCGTATCTATTGTTTGCCACATGAGCATACCCTCGTCGTACCCTGCAGCCAACACAGTTTTAGATTGTTATGTTTCTAACTCTGCAGTAAAAATACACCTATGTAGTTATTAGTGATTTAACAAACAAAAAAGAAACAATTACCTTGGCATTCTCTGCACAAGTCCTGGTCCAAAATGATTGAATGCCACGGTCACTTTCATTTTTACATCTTGCACGAAATCATCGTTGTGTCCAAGCAATATCACCTATAAATAAATAAAAGTCAAAATCATCAAATGTGATACTAGTTGCTCGAACTCTATAATAATATGATTTCAATAATGAATATAAAATGAACTAACTTTATCATGCTGAGTAAAATAGTTGTTGGAAATGGTGACTCCCGTGGAAGCATGGATCACATCGATGAGGCCGTCCGTACAACTCGCTAGGTAACAATGGTCGATCCAAATATTCGATGAACCGGAAATCGCGATCGCATCACCGTCCGAACCCTCGCGGTGACCTACGTGTGTCGTGCTACTCCTCACCATTCCGTACTTCCCCGGTTTGCAGTCGTGGATACTGATCCCATGCACGATTACGTTCGTCACTCCTTGTATCGTAATGCAAGGTCCGTACGCAATTTCCACTTTTGCTCCTCGCCCATCTATGGTCTTGTAGCTATTAACCATGAGCTCATTCTCCAAGGTTAAGACCATATCCTTAGCGAAAGTGATCCACAGCGGCTTGTCTTGGATCACACCGTATCGGAGAGAACCCGGTTGAGGGTTCTCAGCATTATCGTTAGGGTTTGTGACAACATATATATCACCTTTCTTGCCACCCAAGGCAGATGATCCAAATCCAACCGCACAATCTGCTAAATCTTTGCGATTGGCGGTCCAGTCAGACTTGAGCCGCCAACACGAGTCCACCGAATTCATGATTTTTTGTGGTTTATCGGGTAGGTAGCTGGCCACCGGGTTATACCCGTAATAGCCATTGTTAACGGCACGAACCAAGGACTGACATAGGAATAGTGTCACGGAGAGACACAAAATGGAGAAAAGAGTCATGGTCCAAGTACGGGGTTTAGGGTTTAAGAAGGGAGATTATATAAGACAAGAGAAAAGATGGACAAGTACTTAAAGGAGTGTTAGATGGAAGATTGTGTGGAAAAGATTAGACGTTATGGTAAGCATGATCTTGTCCTAATTCTGACATAAAGATCAAAATTGTTTTAGTGAGACTTTGAAATTGTTGCACAAGATCACACCTACGTGCTTCCCCACGAACATTTCCCTGAGCAATTTGCTTAGATGGAAAATCCAGATTCTAATATTTATATTTGTTTGATTAGTTATTATATTACACTGATTAGTCTAATGTTTGTTTGGTCGGCTTTTTATATGTACGTGTACCAAAATCCAGATTCTAATATTTATATTTGTTTTGATTAATTATTATATTAAACTGATTAGTGTAATGTTTATTTGGTCGGCTTTTTCTATGTACGTGTACCAATGGACTACTCATACTTGTTTCATAGTACATAGAAGGGTCTTTTTCGCTAGAAGATTGCATTCGGTACAACTCTCATAACAGTGTTTTCACGTTCGACCCGACTTGCGGTCGGAATGACAAATCCGGTGATCCAGTAAATAATCTTGTTTGAATTTTAAAAAATATCAACCAACTAAAAATCTGATAAAATCCGCTAAAAACCTTAAATCCGATGATTCGGCTATCGGTTGAACCATCGAGTGAACTAATAAATTATTTTTATTTAGGTTTTTAACCATTTTATTAAATCTTGTTTGTATTCCACAAATATAAATTTAGGTTTTTTTCTTTTATTTTTTAGTTTTTTCATGAAATTATCGTTTTACTTGCTATCAAATATATTCTATATCTTATTTAACTTTTTAAAAAAAAATTTTGTTGATTTCTTTTTATAGTGAATAACATTTGTTTTAATCTTCTAGATAATAATTTCTATCATATAAACTTTGTTTTTATTATTTTCATGAATTATATGTTTTTATCTTGTTTTTTTTTATTTTACATATCTCTAAATAAATAATGCTTATTTGTGAATCAAATTCATTGATATTATTCAATTTTGTAAAATTATATCCCTCTAAAATAGATGATATTTTGGAGAGTTTTTGATGTTTCAAAATATATGATGTTTTGATATTTTTATATCTGTTTTAGTTTTATTGAATAATGTGTGATCAATAATATTTTTTTTTAAAAAAATGGGTATGTCTTAATTCTTAAAAGGTCTGTTACTTTTTGTCACTATTTTCTTTCCTCTAAGGTCCAAAAGGATTTAAGATGCACACCACAATAAAACTAGTTTCTTCTATTTATTGTTGTACAAATTTATTTGTAGATCTATAACAAAAGCTAACAAGGAATTTGACATCGGCATATATGTTTTTTGCGAAAGTTATTACACTCGCAACTATATGGCGTGATGGCTCCTTTCTTAACAAAGTCGTTTATGCACCTTTCGCTTCCATCATGGCCGCATCTCCCGATAAATATATCCTTCTCGTCGCATAGGCTACCCATTGGAGTAAATCCAGCTTCCACGTCTATTATTTCATATAAACCACACTCAAAGATTCGTTGATTTTTTAACAAAATAATAGTTAATGACAATATGAAAGTGAAACAGGTGCTTCGCAAAGTTTAGAGTTGCTAAGAGAAAGTATATGTGTTACCTCTGACATTGATCAGAATAAAAGACATGAGAATACAACAAACCATGAAAACAGTAGCTGATCTCATGATTCTCTTGAAGTGTTAATTTTATATTTTCACTCTTTTGTGCAAATACAAATTATAATCTCTCTCTATCTTACTACTGGATATGATGATACTAGTTGTGTATGTATATATACACACATTCAGCAAATGCTTTTGTAATCATAAATGTCTTATGAATCGATTTGGAACGTATGTATTCAAATACCAAATCTGAAAAACAATTAATGGTATCTTTGACTAGTTCTGGAAGGTAATCTTCACTTTATTTTTTCCGAAAGGTATTAAATGGTTCCCAAATGTGTTTAGTTTAGGATTATTTGAAGAAGGTATTTTGGTCAAACTCAATTAATATTTCCAAATGTAAGATACTTTTCTGTTACACGTGATGATATTCAAACCTGAATAGACACACTTGGTGATTTTAAAATCTTTGAATATACATGACTTATTTTTGGGTTCACTCCCTAAGGTGAACCTCTAGGTTCACCATCCAATAGAATTGCATCATTTTATATTTGATATATTTTTAAAAAAGAAACAAAATCTTAATAAGTTATATGGTGTGTTTTAAATATAAAAATACAAAAATAATTAAAAAATAATAATTAAGCAAAACGAAAAATAATTATTTCTAAAAAATATATTTTAACATTAAACTCTAAAGTCTAATCTTAGGTAAATCACAAACCTTTGGATAAATCTATAAAAAATTTAGTGTTTATGATTAATCCAAGGGTTTAGGGTTTAGGATTAGAGTTTAGGGTTTAGTGTTTATGATTTACTCAAGGGTTTACGATTAGAGTTTAAGGTTTAGTGTTAAAATATTTTTTCTAAAAGAATTATTTTCGTTTTTATTAATTATTATTATTATTTATTTATTTTTGTATTTTTATTTTTAAAAACATAATATAATTTAACAAGATTTTGTTTCCTTTTTTAAAAGATATCAAATATGAAATAATGCAATCCTATTGGATGTTGAATTTAGAGGTTCACCCTAGGGGGTGAATCCAAGAATAACTCAATATATATATATATATATATATATATAAGATTTAAGAGACAACTATGTGTTTTTTACAACATATGCAGTGATAAAAACTTTAAATTTAATTAATATTTAAAATAAAATTCATTAAGATTTTAGATTCTATAATTTTCTTACTATTATGTTAACATAAATTATAATTTAAATAAACATAAAAATTAAGAGAAAACAAAAAGATGTTTACTTTAAAGTTTTATTTACTAATAAATATGTATATGTTTAAAAGTATAATCTCAAATAGATTTTTATCTATTTTCTTAAATCAACTTGTATAAAATTAAAAAAAATAATTTTGATATAATTATCATAATGATAAATAGTATTCTAAAATTTGTAGATATAAAAAGGAAACTAATGTTATAAGGATTACAAATTTATATCTTTCAGAAATACATACAATTTTGAAGAACTTGAGTAATTAAAACTAAATAGTTATAAATTAAAATTAAATCGTATTTCGAAATTTGTAATAGATTTTTATATTTTTATTATTATTTTGATTAATGATATAGGTGAATCTATATTATTAAAAGAGAAGTACCCATAAAATTAAATCATATAAAATACCCCTTAGTTTTCACTTTTATTTACAATAGCATGCCACTAAAGTAATTAAATGAACTTATATGTAAGTAATCATTCTCTTTTTCCTATTTATTAAACAATTTCCTAAATCATTTTTAGCTTAATTTTCGTGTTTAATATATTCCATTAAATAAACTAGCTGATTTTTAGGAATATTCATATTTAAAATCGATTTTAACAATATTAAATTTGTACAATGTTACCATTAATTATTTTGAACAAAATTCAAGTTTAAATTCGAATTAAAAAATATTATGAATATTCCTAAAATATATGTTTAACTTGGCATTAATTATTTTGAACAATAAGATTTTAAATATATTTAAACTACTTATAAACAACATGAACTATTTGTAACTGAAAATTATTTTAATATAATTAAATCTCACCTAAGATTATATATTTTTTCAAGAATTTCTAAAATATATGTTTTACCATTTTGGTTGCTATTAATTATTTTCAACAAGAAAATTTAATACTGAAATTGAAATATTGAATTACTTGTAAAACAATGTTTAATGTTTATAACCAAATATTCCTTTTTATAATATATCTAAATCTTACCATATTATCCATATCTGATCAAAATATTTAAATTCTTTTTTACATTTGGTAAACAATTTCATGTTATAAGAAATATTATTAATTTTTTTAAAGTTTAGTAATGGACACGAATCACTATTTTTACAGCACATAAACTATTCGATTGTTGTGTTTATAAAAAATTATAAATATGATAAATATTTAAAAATATTAACGGATAGACATTTAAATAATATTCATTTATATAAAAAATGAAATAAATACCCGTTCGGTCAGACGGGTCCAGCTCTAGTATATTTTATTTAATGATGATATATCAGTTATTACCATAAAATTTTTACCAAATATATAAAAAATATTAAATATAATATCTATGTCACAATTATCCATAAGCATGTCATAATTTTTAGCGTGTCATGTCATTTTAAAAAAAATGAAAGTGATTGTAGAGATGACATCTAAAAATTTGAAAATCACTTCTCAAATATGTCTAGGGGATTGGTTGAGTTTTAGCAGTAGAAATTTTTCTGTAAAATTTAGTGTAAAATTTTTTGATGTAGTTCTATCAAATTTAGTTGAAGAAATTAAAGGAAGAAATAAAAAAAGAAACATATTCTTGCAGTTGTATTTTTTTTTTTTTTTAGAAAATAAGGCTAACCATTTCTTTAATTTTTTTGCTTTAGTTTTGAAAACAACATAAAACATAATTGGTAATTTATATGGTTATAGATGGATTTTAAAGCTGAAGTCACTTGCTACATTCTAACCAACTTTAGTTTGTTGAAGTTGTAGCTTTTGTTTGTTTGTTTGTTTGAGAATTGAATTTGTAGGCTCAGATGATAAGATGATGGGACAATGAATCTCCAACGAATCTTATCACCTTTGCATACAGGAGGTGAAGCTTTGATCTAAGTTACCGAGTGTATGAAGACCATTCAATTTGCCAAAGTAGTTTTCGCAACATGTTTTTTGTGAGTTGGTGAAGATGATGTTGATACCTAAACAATTTTCAGGTTTCATTATCCATATGGAGTAATTGCGATAAAGTAAGATTTTTTTTTTCTAATTTCAGAATCAGACATATTCCAAAACACAAAAAAAAATTGGTGGACAAGTTTACACATGGAGCAAAGAAAATTGTATGTCGATTACGTATCTCCAATTTGGTTATCCGAATCAGAAAGTTAGTTTTATTTTTTTATTAGCTATTGCTGTAAAAAATGAAGTTATGGGACTTTTAGCTAGGACTTTGATTTTTATTTTGAAGTTTTAATACATTCAATTACTAATAAAGCTGTAAAAATGTTGATTTTGAAAGCCAGCATATTTTCCTCTTATAATGTTTTAGATGTAGATTTATTTTTAAAGCTAAAATATGATTGGTTAAAGCTATAACAAAGAGGCAGAAATAATAGTTGTTCATATTTCTACGGCTCTTTCTAATAAATCCCATAGTTCATAATTTTCATGATTTATTTCTATTAATAGTTGTTCATATTTCTACGGCTCTTTCTAATAAATCCCATAGTTTATATCAAACTGAGTAAAAAGATAAAAGCAGAGAAGACTAGTAATACATCACTTTTGTCGTCTAATATAAAATATTTATTTCTTATCCATCCACAAAATGCACCGAAGAGACTTTCCTTCTTCTAATAAATCGAAAGCTTTGTTGATATCTTCAAATTTCAGTTCATGTGTGATAAAACTATCCAGATTAAGCTCCTGCAAGTGTTAATCCCACGAAATCATAGCGTGTAAGTTGGAAACAAAGTACAATTTTCAAGCCCTTTGTCAAAAAAAAAGCATAATTTTTATGCATTAACAAAACATGTAATCAAATATATATATATATATTTAATACTACTAAATAAAGATATAACTACACCTTTTTTAAGTAACGATCCACGAGAATGGGAATATCTAGCTTGGGTTTCATACCACCAAACAAACTTCCACAAATATGTTTTCCTCTGAAAAGACCAAAACTATCCAATTCTGTTGGAGCTGCTGGATTTATCCCCAAGGCTACCGTTTTTCCTGTACCCTGTTTCATTTAATTTATTTATTTCAAATCGTCATATACATAGTAAATCAATGTTGTTAGCCACTGGAATGATACTGAACTTGATACGAAACTGCATAACGTACCGTACGGGTGCTAGTGAAAGCCTCGCTCAGTACCGAAGTTATACCAACACATTCAAAACTGTAATCAACTCCTCCGCCTGTTATTTCTTTAATCACCTTTTCATGATTATCGAAAAAATAGAGAAGTTATATCTGTTTTTCTTGAATAAATTAATTGAAATACTTAATTTTTATTTAATTATGATGTAAAAACTATATGAAATTGTGTAACATACCTCACTAATCTTTTTATCTCCACACATGGTAGGATTGATGAAATCCGTGAAGCCAAATTTCTTACCTATTATGCAATGTAGAATTATTAATAAAGTTTGTATATGCTGAATAATATTTTCCGATCCATATAATTAAACAGTTTAATATGAAATCTTTTTTAATTATAATGGTGTTTCAGTATTACAAAATATAGTTTATTATGTATATGATTAGCTTTTATTATTCTTTTAATAATTTTTAATATTATTATTATTTTAATCATGGATAAAAATATAATGCATCATAGCAAGTTTTGTTTGCATGTCTCAGCGACATAAACTATGTACAACCAAATGTTGTTCGGTGGTTGTAAGATCCTGTAATTAGTCTCAGCGACCAGTCATAGATCAAACAATAAGCTGCGACTAGTTGCAGTCACAGTGAGCTCAAAACGAACAGAGAATGTATAGTTTTTATTTTTTAATCAAGTATTGATCAATAAATGGTAATAACTAATATGGACAAAGAAATAATGCCAAACTCAACGTGGTCAGAATAAGCCAAAACAAAAATATTAAACATAAAAACTAGAAGACAAAGATATTTATTTGATATATTAACAACTTTACCTAGCACGAATTTATCAGGGTTGATATCAATACCGATGATCTGTGCAGCCCCGCGCAGCCTGGCTCCTTCTCCAACCTGTTTACCAAATCAATTTTTTATTTTCCTATACCAAACTATTAATGTATCTCATCAGAGGGAAAAACATTTATACAATTAGTGAGAGTGCTATTGTTTTCTTTATATAAGAAAAAAGTATTATATATTTATAAAAGAAAATGGATACCGCTAGTCCAACAGCACCAAGGCCAAAAACTGCAACGGTGGAGCCTTCTTCAACGTCAGCTGTTTTCCAAGCTGCTCCAATTCCTAACCCATGTAACGTGACAAATCATCAGTGATTACCCCATCTTTTCAAATGATTGTATCTACCTAACCTAACTTCCTTAAAATAACCACCACATTCCTGATTTCTACTTCTTTCTACGTTTTCACCAAATAATATTTTAAGAAGAAAATATGTAAACCTGTGGAGACACCGCAGCTGAGCAGAACCGCTCTATCAACAGGAATCTCAGGAGTGATTTTAACGAGATGAGCGATATCAACGACGGTATATTCAGAAAAACTCGAGACAAAGAAAAAATGGTGAATATCTTCTCCCATAGAGTCCTTGAACCTCGAAGCCGTTCCGTAACGTCGCGTGTTTGACACGAGATCTTCGGCAAATCTCGTGCACCAGTTGCCCTTTGAAGATTTGCAGTCTCTACACTCTTCACATTGAGGATGAAATACTGGCAACACGATGTCGCCTCGTTTGTAACCATCCACATGTTCACCAATGCTCTCGACCACACTGGATTATAAATAAATAAATAAGTAATTATTTAGGCAAGTTCTTAAAAAGAAACGTTCAATATCTTGAAATTTAGAAAGAAGATTATTACGTACCCGACTGCTTCGTGTCCTAGAATTCTTGGAAACTTGACGAGTGGTCCCTGGATAATTCAAAAGATTTTGTGAAGAATATATAGATTATGTATGATGGACTTCCCCATGCACAAAAAAGCAGTGTATCTTTTTATTTTGGTTAGAAAAAAAAAATGTAAATCTTACACTGTCATATTTCGAGAAAGAAAGATCAGTGTGACAAAGAGTTGTGCATAGGATCTTAATCCTAACTTCGAAAGCTTCAGGTGGATAAACTTGGATCTCTTCGATCACCAATGCTTCTCCTGCTTTTCTACATATTGCTGCTTTGCATCGAATGGGCTTTCCTTCCTGGCTGGAGAATGATGATGTCTTGTCCATGGATATGAGAATAAGAGAGTCTATGCTCTTCCTATCTTGCTCTTCTTGATATCTCTCTCTCTCTCTGCTAAAACATCTCCATATATAATCTTTTTATTTATGAATAGAATACCATAAGTTTATGATATATTTTATTTAGTGGACAGTTCATGATTAAGTTCGATCGTCTCTATATGAAAAGGAGTCGGTACTGCCTATTATTTATTGTTTTGTCTTTTAGCCTATTTCAAAAGGAATCGTAAGGAAATAGAGATACTCAAAACACACAAGAAAATGAAAAAAAAACTTTGGCTAATTGCATCAGGGGATCATAATTCTCGACATGGTTGTTAGCGAATAATACAAACGTCTAAAGCCAGATAATGAATATCGTGTGGTATACAATACAAAGGCTAAAAGCCAGAAAATAAATATATTTTGTGATAAAAAATACAAAAGGCTAAAAGGCAGATGATAAAATAGTTTTAATTAGTTTTGTGCGATGTACGTGGTTCTTTTACTAGTGATTTGTATAAAGAAATGCAACTGCGACAGCAACATTCACGTGGTTCTTGGTTATACCATATAAACAATCTGAAAGTTTTTAATTTCTTCACCAACTCCGAGTCAAAAAAATATCTGATACGAAGTCTTTAATTTTACAAAAGACTGTAAAGTAAGTGTTAAAACATTGGTCCAAGATCAGTGAAGATCCATCAAAAGATTGTTATTAATTGGCATCCAAAGTTTATATGAAAATTTTTCTAAGGTTTTCGGTTCATCCAGCAACTATTATTTTAGATACGTACACGCTAACGTCTTCAAGATTTCTGGTCTATGGATCAATGTAGTTGTACATTGCATATGTAACAAATGTAAGATTTGTAAAAAATCAATGCATGATAAAAAAAAAAAAATTCTCAGATATAAGATCAATTTCTTGACCAGAAATTTACTTATTTTCCTAAACTAGTTTAACTCTATACATCTAGACATCAATCAAGATGATGTTGTCCTGTGTGCAAAACGAAATGTTTTTTTTGTTTGCACAAGCTACGGTAGCCGGAGGCGACCGGATGATGCCAGGGTGAAGGGTGGATGCACTTGTCATCTTTGTCACTCTTTTAGGAGCGTTGTCATCTATTATATTTTGGGCTTAATAAAGCCCACTTAGGCTTCTTGCATATAAAGCAAATAAGCAATACAAGAAAGAAGGTCTAGGTCGTCTTGACCTCCAAGGCAATTCTAGGGTTTGTAACATCATGAAAAAACCGGTGAGAGAATACTCAGACCCAAAAACTTGGACTTCCATACTCCATCGTCCTGATTTCAGTGAGTTGTTTTTAACCAAGTCTGTGACTTGTCCAAGGCTCTTATTCACCGTAAAACCTGCTGGCATTGGCAACATTGACATTAAAAGTTTTTCTACTCTACACCTCAGCCTCATGATCCAGAAGACAACTCTGTTCTTGTAGCCACACCTTATCATACGTCTTTCCCCGAATATGTTCTAACTTATATACGTACACCGGCCTGTGGACTAGTCTTGTTTCAGGGATGGTTAAGAAAGGTGTCGGTGATTTGTAACCTTGCCACGGGAGAGTTCTTAACTTTACCTAAAGTGAAAGTGAAGAGTAACACAGAGAAGATTTAAGAAATGTATTTGAGCTATGATCCGATAGGGAAACAGTTCAAAGTGTTGTGTATGACCTCTTCACGTCATGAAAGACTCAACACTCACGTCATAGAAGTTTTGACATTGGATTGTGGTAAAATAAAAGTTTTTTTGCATGAGCATTGAACACATGATGGTTAACTGTTTCCAAAGACATTCATCTGATGGTAAAAAAATAATGTTGTCTAACTACAAAGATTATAAGGTTGTAATAAACAAGAGCCTCGAAACTTTGGAATCCACTGATAAAAACCCTTGAGGTCTCTCTACAACACAAATCTTTTCCGAACCAAGCTTTAGTTAGGCCAATCCCCATTTTTGAACTACGTATCCTCTTTTTTTATCTCTTTCTATGTACATATAGAAAGGTGCCATATGTATATATACTTGTAAAAGCATCTCTCTAGACTTCTTTACCACTAAAAGGCAGAGACGGTGAAGATTCTCCGCTGATCCTGCTAGGAGCTGGAGTGTTCCTCCTGGACTGACGTTTGGTAGGAACAATAATGGCTTCATCCTCATACTTCCCAAGCTTGTCATCATCATAGTCATCATCATCTTCATCGCCTTTGAACACTGGATGAACATAAGCACTCTGCAAGTAGCCTCTGAGGTTCAAGTTCGGCTCTCTTGCGTTTTCCAATGTATCTTTCATCTTAGCTTCCTGTTTAACAACAATGAACTCATTATTTGGTATGGTTGAGGCACATAAACGCTTGTTAGAAACAAACAAACCTGTAGAGGGTATCTGATAAAGGCTGGCTCATAACGACCTTTGCAGAAGCGGTGGAAACCAATGGTAAGCACAGGCAAAGCAATGAGAAAGGGTGCAGCTAATGCAGCGTGTTTTGTTCCCAATAGACCCATAAGAAGCAGCTGAGATATTATCAATGCAGATATGACTCGTCCATGAACATCTGGCCAGAACGCTGCAGCGCTCTCGTATTCTTGATTGTATACATTTATGATCTTGACAAGAAACAATAATCAATCAGCTTTTAAATAAAATAAAAAACAAACTGAAGAAAGGAAGGAAGAAACTTACTTGATGACGATACACAATGTAAGCAAGAGCAAAGAACACCAAGATAAAAGGAAGAAGCATAGGCGTCACAGGAGCGTAGACAAGACCAAGAAGGAAGTAAAGCTGTATCCGAGGCTCTCCCGTGTTAAAACCAATGCTCCCTGGATCCATAGCCTCCTCTCTGTCTTTCTCAGTCTTCACCAAGAAAGTGTTTTTCAGATGGAACATAATCAGAGGCTTCAGCATAAGAATCTCTCCAGCTACACCTGCCCAACCGTCAACCATTATGTAAGTGATGAAGAACGTTGCCTTCATCGGTATAGCCACACCAATGGTCTTTGGGATTTGGTTTGGTGATTGGTTGAGGAAAGCGCTAAGCTGTTCAAACGCAGCTCCAGTGATGACGCTGGCAAGAAAGACATTCACGAAGTTGAAGATGTAATATCTAGACGCTGAGCGTCTCTCTAGAGATGAGATTGATGTAAAGCCTTCAAACTTGGACATGACCATGAGAATGGATGGTAGAAAGATTAGGAAGAGCTTCAATGCAATACCAGGTAGAAAGCCCTGTATCACTGACTTCATAAACTTACTGCAAAAAATATCAAACAAAGTCAGTTCAATGTTTTCAAGTTCATATGATATGTCAAGAAGAGAGGAAGAGACTCACTCCTCAACAATAACCTTCAAGAACGGTGCAGCTTTCCTAATCCCTTCGATGGTAGCAAGAGATTGAACAAAGGCAATTGGGATGATGAAGAAGAAAGTTAGGAAGAAGAAGGCAACATGCATTAACAGTCTTCTAACGGTTAGAGAAACGTATGGGATAGCAAGGTTTGGCCAGTACACATCACGAGGCTCTGGAGCCCATTCGGTTAGCCATTGGGTCGGGTTCCGGGTCTGTTGAGTTTGAGCACAGACAGCAGCAGCCCAACGAGTTTTGAAGGAGACAAAAGATGCTGGCATAATGGACTTGGGATCTTTCACCACTTCTTCTCTTTCTTTAGCTATCTCTTTTGATATTTTGTCTATTTCAGCAATGTAGTGTTCGATTGCATCCACTTTTTGTCCCCACAGCCCAAGGAAGCCAAGCTGGTTGATGAAAAGGATCAATCTAACAGAACATAAACTAAATATATGAAAACTAAGATTTTATTTCAAGTACCTTCACCATGATTCTCTGAGAGTTATGTCTAGCGTATTTGAGCTGGTAATAATCAAGCCAGTTTTGCATCTTTTTCTTCTTTTTCACCAAATCAGCTAGCTTGTTTGCATTGCATACAACCTACATATTGTTTAAAGTAAGAACCCATGAAGTCATTTTTCATAAGTTTCAAGAACATCATAACTCACAGAGTACTTAACAGAGAAACTTACCTGATTTGTCAGGTAGTGATCAGGGTGATTGACCAGGAAGAAATGCTCCACCAGTTCACTAACAGATTCATCTGCATCTGGAGGTACATTTCTGACAAGAACCTATCATACATCATCACAACATATTATTTTCACACTTTGTATAGTTTTTTTAAATCAAGGAGGAAAGAAAAGAGTCTTACAGTGAATTGGTCAGGTCGACGAGCTTCTGATGCAACAAACTGTAACCTCATGTTAGCAATCGTCTCATATTCTTTCATCAACACATAACAAGTCCAGATGGTAAAAGCATATGCCATCACTATATGGGTCCAAAACCTGGCAAAACCAACAAAAAAGTCAAGACAATGTAGCTCAAAAACTCAACATTTTTAACAGAAGATGGAGTATATAAAACACACCTCATTGAATACTCTGGGATATTCGAAACAGATAGTTTATCAATATCGCTCGAAGTTACATTCTTTAGCTCCCTAGCCAACTCCAACGTGTTGTTAGTCCAGTTGACTGGCACAAGAACCGCCCACGCAAGAACTGCTATTGGAAAAAAGATCTTAAGCCTGCACACACAATCAACAAAACAAAATATAATCAATAACAGGAGTAACTAGTACTAAGCCTTGGCCACAAAGTTTCAAGACTTTTTACCCAAGCCAGTAAATCCTGAGATACACAACTGAATCCAAACCAGCATGATCAATCAGCTCAGGCTCAGGCATCTTCAAAGCCTCAGGCATCCAATTCAAGAACTTCAAGTAAGCCCTGAAGTCCAAGTTCACAAAGCGCTGTACAAAGGCGCCACCACGAGAAGGGCTGCTTCTCAACCCCTTGAGGTACCATTTGGAGAAGTAAACTCTGTCGTTGAAAGGCTGGAGCCTCAAAACCGCAAAGATTATGAAGAAAATGAATGCACTTAAGATGTTTATCCCAGCTGAAACACCAATATCAGAAAGTGTAGCCATCTTTTATATCTTCAAACCTGTAACAATACAAAGAAGCAGCAACAAGTTAAAAGATTGAAGCTTGATGATAAAAGAACATTTAACCAAATCAAAACCTTGGGAGGGAACTTCAGATCTGAATCTAAAGGGAAATGCTAATTATAAACTCACAAAACCTCACAACAAAGTTCCAAAACAAAGTTCGAATCTTTTCAAGAGAACATTAAAGAGGACAATGCATAACACAGCTCAGAGCATAAAAAAAAAAGGTTTGCTTTTTTGATATATATCCTCAAGTTTACTCCACAGAAGCAATGAGATCTAGAGACAGAGTAAATACAAATAAAGAAGGAAGCAGAGAGAGAGAGAGAAACCCAAGAGAAGAGGAGAGGAATAAGACAGTGTTTCATCCAAAGCTAAGAACTTTCTTTTTCTCTACTCTTCAGTGACTTAGTCACACGCAAACACAAACACACAAACCAAAACTTCCTAAAAAGTCGTTAGAGAAGATTTATAAAGTTAAGCAACAAAAGAAAGTATTTTTTTTTTTCAGGAAATGTTTTTTTTTTTTTTTTATTGAACAACTTTCAGGAAATGTTTATTATTTTGTTATGAGACAATGTGGGTAGGGAAACTGAGAAGAGAAGCAGTTACGTAGACTTAAGAGTAAGGGAGTGAGAAGGTGAAAGAGAGCATACAGTCTCTTGGAAGAAGAAGACGGCCAGGGTTTTTGTCGTATTGGTCACTGGCTTACCAAAAGTATCAATTTTTATTTATTTGTTTTATATTATTTGTCATGTGGAAAAGCTAATACGATTCGTTCACCTAATTAGCTTAAAAACAAATTATGGGACGGTCGATTATACAATTTTTCTAAAGTTCATTTTCCGAATCTTTCTCTGTTTTAGCTTTTGCTTATCTTGTGATGATTTATTGACGCAACCGACAACATGTTATTTGTATTGTTTATCAATTGTAGAACGTTACATTTAGAGCAATAGTAAGATTCGAAAAATAAATAAAATAGTATTTTGAGTAATCTATTTTTTCTGGCATTCCAGCTTCCTCTATGAGTAAAGCTATTCACATGGTATAGTGATTTTAAGCAACTTTGGTTAATAACTTTTGTTATTGTGTTAATAACTTAGTATGGGAACAATTGTTTTGGTGAGTTTCAAAAAAAAAAAAAAAAACAATTGTTTTGGCGATTTTCCGACCGTTGATGTTAGTTTTTTTATATTTTTAATGAGCATTCATTGATTGGTAGGTATAAATTTTGTAAAGCCTAACGGTTAGTTGAGCAAGGACTTTTGTAACGGGCAGAAAATGCTGCAGTGTTTGGAATCATGCGTATATTAAAGCGACTCTCTAGAAGGCAGAGATTTGGTAAGACATGCGCTTTACGTGGGACACACAAAATGTTTATAACTAGGGCATGCTTGGAGCGTGTGAGTGGTGACTAAAACTTTAAACACCATACTTAAATGAGTAATTATTATTTTAGCCTAAAGTGAAAAGTTTATGCTGAAAATCATGCAAGATGACGTCTTCTTTCAGAGTCCACTAGATAAATAAAAATTTGTTGAATACATTGAAGTTTTTGCTGGAATTAAACTTTAGCAACAACTTATGCATTCATTTCGTAAAGAGTACATGGCTTAGTGGCCACGACCACGTAATACGTTTTCATGGGTTTTTTAGATTCGAATATGTAGCTAGTGCCTAGTGGTGATAACAAAAACAATTGATTCGATAAAAAGTTAAAAACATGTGGAAAGTGATATCAAGGTATTCGAGCATCACAATTAAACATACACGACGAAGAATCAATGTTCTATATTTGTTGAAATATTGATCCAGACTTCACAAGTTATGAGTAAATCATACTTATCGAATATTTTTAAAGAAGAGGGAATCAATAGAAGTTGGCTTGAGAAAAGTTTATGCCGCTTCAAAATTTCCGGACATGACATAAGATTGGGCCGGAATCTGTAAGGCCCTGCCAAAATAGCCCAATTAATAATTTTATGAACACTTGTTTGTTTTTTCTTTTTATAATCTCAGTTGATCACTTGATCCGGATGGATCGGATCAATATGGATTAGAACATGATTCAACCATACGCCTGTCTTAAGCTGGTCGACTAATTCTATCCGATTATTTGTTTATATATTTATTTTCTCACTGATTTCTATGATCTCATTTTCGTTTCATCGACAACAACTTTGGCATGTTCTCAGTCACGAATATCCTGTGAGTTGCACTGACTTCTGTTTTTTTTGTTGCAATTTTGTATGAGAAAATAAAAGTACATTTAGTAAAGTATACTCCATGAAATTAACTAAGAAGTACTTGTTTCCACTTCCCTTATAATTTCATAAATCCTATACAGATTATAGAAATTTGAAGTTGTGTCAACGCCATTTATAAGTTATAACTAAATTGTAAGAATTTGGGTCTCTTAGAGATTATCAGACACTAATATTGATGACATGACATAAACTATAATTTTTAACGGTTAAATTTGACACTGAAAAAAAACTATACAAACAAGAGTTTTCAGTCTTCGTAAATATATATCAGTTTCAGCCGTCAATATATAAAATATCATTTAGTTTAGTATTATAATGTCGGTGTTTGTATACAACTCAACTTGACTTGTGGGTTCGATTAATATGGCCTTTTTTTTTTTGTAAACTGCTTTCTTAAATTTAAAAGAAAAGACCTAAAATGTTTTACAAGCCTCTTGGCTTTTCTTATCAAGTAGTTTCTACTAAACCATGAATCCAACGTACCGAAGTTATAAATGTGATTCCAAGTATAACGTATAAAATATCCCTCCTAACGTGAAACAATGAAACCAACTCCAATCACTAAATCAGTAATCCAACACATCATTGGTATAAGTTATAAATATGTAGCAAAACAAAGTTTTAACTTTTCCTATGCATAAAAGAGAAGAGTTGTGGCTTTATTTTGTGTAAAGATAAACACAAACATAAAATTGTGATTTCAAGTATTATTCATTTGGAGACATTAAAACTTTGAAAGATATATTTCCGTTATAAAGACTATATAAAGTTCCAAACACATCTTTAAGTATGTAGTCCCCTTCACTAATATATCAGTGATTTTAAAGCATCTTAAACAAGCAAACAAAAAAAACGTAATTAGGAGCCTACGAGGTTTACATACGAAACGTGTAATGTGAATTTAATGTCGTGTAATGTGAATTTAATGTATTTTTGCTACATACAATTGTTTGACATGATTGGCTAAACTATTCATCATCTCAGTTTATCCATGTGAATACATAATCATATGAAGTTATGTTCGAAATGTGATTATGCAATCATATGAAGTTTTGATCCAGAAGTGATTATATAATCATCTGAAGTCTTGTTCCAAATAAGTTGAGATTTCGAGAATATATATGCAGAAATAGTTACAATAACACTTCGTACGTAGTTTTTAAATTCTCGATTTATGACATATATAGACGGGTATTTTAAATATGTTTACGTTGGAAGTTTCCAAGACAGGGTCACGGGATTTCATTCCATGGAATAAAGTCTTTCCTTCAAGACATTAAACAAGCAATCTTGATTCTTCCAAACACCCCTACAATCATGAATTTGTTTAAGTTCACCAACACTATACACAAGACAGTAAGAACTAGTAGTATCTCTTTTGCTTATACGATAACTAATCGTTAAGGAATAGAAAAAAATCCATAAATATACAGATCAACATAAAACTACAGTAGAATGTGAATTCCTTAATGTATTATAGTGTCCAGACTCCAACGACATTAATTTCATGGTAAGATCATATGACTCTTATTCAAATTTGATTGTAAAACTATTTTGAGAAAGTTTTTCAGTTAGAAAAAAAAACTATTTTGAAAAAGATCAATAGAAATGGGGAAAGTGAATTTACTAATCATTGAAGTTCTCTTCTCTGTCAAGAACAGCTGAACGAGTATACAAGCTATTAGCCAGATTGGATCCACACATGATTTCACTTTCAGTTTAAATATAATTTATTTTCTCTCTATTTCTACTCATATCTCGAGAGGAATAATAATTTCATAAAAGTACAAAAAATAATATAACATGAGAGCAGGCCAAAAGGTAACACAATATTCGTGTTTTCATGAGTGGGCAATACTTTTACTCTGTGTATTCTATTTTATTTTTTCTGCTTAAACTCTATGTATTCTATTATTAGTCGTTTTCACGAAACTATCCCATATTTCTTTTGTCCAAATATGTATGTCGTTTTCATATTTGCTGTCATTATAATTCTCTTTAAATTATAGGAAAATGAAGAAACAAGAGCAAATACATTCACCACCTTCACGTGTTCTTTTAACTTTCATTTAAATATTGTATATACAAAAAAAAAATCAGTCGATAGGATTTTCAGAATACAAAAAAAAAAAAAAACTCATGCATAATGTCGAACAAAATGTATTTATTTTCTCGTCGTGTATTGGTTGGCAAGCGAATAAGATTGGTAAATGGTAATGAAAACATAAATGATAGTACTCAAACTTACACAAATACTATCACGTACTATATTGGGAGACAAAGATGTACCAAATAATTGGTGACGAAATGGGTTGAATTAACTCATTGACGTGGTAGTGGCACAGAAACATATAAGTGTACTGTAAGTAACGAAGAGACACACGTAGAGGATCACAGAAAAATGAGCTTTGGGAAAAGCGAAACGAAACTGAGAGCGAAAGCCAAATAGCCCAAAAAGAACGCGAGTCAAATGTTTGCTTTAACTATTTTTTTCACTCCCCCAAAATTAAACTATTCTAGTCCACATTTGTTTATATTTTTTAAAAATGCTTAATAAAACTTAAACAGTAACTAGATCTCGACCCGCACAACCGTGCGGGTTTTCTTTTTATTTATAATTTATAAAAAAAATTATTAATAAATAATAATATATTTACTTATAAAATCGTGCAAAATATTAAAATAATAGATGTAAAAGTATCATTTTTAAACATAACAAAAAATATAAATTATCACTAACAAATATTTATCTATAGTGTATCTAAATAAATTTTAAAATGTATTTTATGCAAATTCCAGAAATTAAAACTCTATATTAAAGAAGATTATAATTTAATTATTTTAAATTATAATTTATGTATCAAACTCAAAATATATTATTTAGTAATAACAATCAATAAGAATATAAATTAAAATATATAAAACAAATTACTATATATTAATAATGAAGAATAAAAAACTTAAACAACTAAATTATAGAGTTANTAAAATTTAAAAAGATGTCAAAAAGATTTTGTTGGATTTATTTCATTTATATTTCAAATAAAAAAATAAAGATATTTAAAGATATTATCATTAAATTATGTAACATTTGATAACCTTCATAATCTTTTTAAGGAATAGTCCATTTTTAAAAAAATCACACATGAATCTAGGTTGTGACTTCTGTTTTAATATATAAGATGAAACTTTTATAAAAATACATGTGGACAGGAAAATGAAAAGCAAATTCCAAACTTCCACCGACACTAACACCAGTCAATAGTCAGATACTATCAATTATCAACTGCTCAAGAATTTCATCTCAATCATACGTTTGTCAATAAATAATAAAATAATATAATCATTAAATCAGCACAATTAAGAGTCTTGCCTTATGAGTTTAATTGAAGTCTTTAAATAAGTTCTTTAATCAGTTAATGTTTGCATGAATCTACGAAGAAACAGGGCTTTTTAATACTCCAAGGAAAAGAAACCTGAATTAAAAAAATTACTAATATTATTATTCTCTCTCTTCATTACACACTCTCTATAACTTTCTTTAATGGCGATGCTTCTAACCACTATCCCCAAACACACACTGTAACTCTCCTTCTTCTTTTTATCTGTCACTCTTTATCATCTCTGTACTCTTGTTTTTAACCTTTTGGAGCTTCCATAGAGATGTTTCTATGTAATGTAACTCCCCGCATGTGATCACCGACACAAACAATGGCTACTGGAGAAAGAGCTATGCTTCTCGTTTTGCTTCTAATCTTCACTTCGGTCTCTGTTGTTCGTTGTGTTACTGATCCATCTGATGGTAAAGTGTTGACATTTAATGACTTTAGCTTTTTCTTGCTTTTACATCTTTGTGATCGTCTCTTTTTTAAGATCTTTTTTATTTTATTTGTTTGGTTAGCTTTGTGAGTTGAGTGAAACCTGAGATTTTTCTGGGTTTCTTTTGTTTCTCCCTTAAAGTGTTAGACTTTAGATTCAAAAGATAAACCCTTTTTTCTTAGAATCTGTTTTTAGAATGTGTTTACTTACTTTTTAGCTCAGAAAGGAAAGCTGTAAGCTTTATGAAAGATTTTACTGATAGATCTTTGATTGGTTTTCTGACTCATGAGGTGTTTTCTTCTCATTGGTCTATTGCAGTTCAAGCCCTTCAAGTTTTGTATACTTCACTAAATAGTCCTTCACAGCTAACCAATTGGAATAATGGAGGTGGTGATCCATGTGGAGAGTCATGGAAAGGGATTACTTGTGAAGGCTCAGCAGTTGTCTCTATGTAAAGGATTCACACTTTTTGATTTTTTTTTTCGTTTCTTTCCACTTAATGATTCTTGAGTGTCTTCTAATGTGTTGTTGTTGTGATTTATTACAGAGATATATCGGATTTAGGAGTTTCTGGCACTCTTGGATACTTGCTCTCAGACCTAATGTCACTCAGAAAATTGTACTGTCTTTTGTAAAAAAATTTGTTTCTGTTTGTTTGATCATTGTGCTTTTTGAGGATTTTTGATTTACTAACTTTAGTCCCTTACTCTTTGTTACAGGGATGTTAGCGGAAACAGCATCCATGACACACTTCCATATCAATTGCCACCGAATCTCACAAGCCTGTAATGCTGTCTTTTGCTTAGCTATCATACAGTATTTTGTCTCAGTGTTCAGTTTGAAACTAACAGTTGAAAGTAAAATGTAATGCAGAAACTTGGCGAGAAACAACCTAAGTGGCAACCTTCCCTACTCCATATCTGCTATGGGATCTCTTTCTTACATGTGAGTTTGACATATTATATTGTGAGGTTTAGCATAATCCTTCTTCTTTTGCATTAAAGTTTGTAATGTTATTGTTTTAGGAATGTAAGTGGTAATTCACTTTCCATGTCGATAGGAGATATATTTGCTGGTCAAAAGTCACTTTCAACATTGTAACATCTCTTACCTCTCTCTCTATATATATCATATTCATATCACTGCCAGCTTCCATTGATCTATTGTTGATTTATCCAGGGACCTTTCTCATAATAACTTCAGTGGTGATCTTCCTAGTTCCTTGAGTACACTGTCTCAACTTTCCGTTCTGTGAGTGCTTTCAAACTTTCTGTTGTTGTAACGAGAATTAAGAAGTTCCTAAATGATGATGGTCTCTTCATTTGTGACAGCTATGTTCAGAACAATCAGTTGACAGGTACTATCGATGTACTCTCCACTTTGCCTTTGACAACTCTGTAAGTTTCATTTTCATATAGAAAAAAGCAACCAATGTGTTATTTCCCTATCTCATTTACCATCTATGGTTTCTTGGCAGCAATGTTGCAAACAACCATTTCAATGGATCCATACCTAAAGAGCTAAGCTCTATCAAGACCTTAATGTAAGTTTTCAATAACAATCTGTTCACTTCAAACGAAACAGAAGTTTATGTCTCTGATGTATCCAAAAATTGAAACAGATATGATGGTAACTCCTTTGATAACGCTCCTGCATCTCCTCAACCAGAAAGACCAGGCAAAAAGGGGAAACCTCCTGGTTCCAAGAAACCCAAAGACAGCCCTAAAGCTGAAGAGAAGTCTTCTGAATCTTCTTCTGACAAGGGTTTATCTGGTGGAGTAGTCACCGGTATAGTTTTCGGTTCTCTATTCGTTGCTGGTATCATAGCACTTGTTCTTTACTTGTGCCTCCACAAGAAGAAAAGGAAAGTTGGAGAAAGCACAAGAGCTGCTTCTCATAGAAGTCTTCCACTTAGTGTAATACCTGAAGTGCAAGAGCAGAGAGTCAAAACTGTAGCAGACTTGAAGTCATCACCATCACCTGCAGATAAAGTAACCGTTGATAAGGTCATGAAAAACGGGTCTATAAGTAGAATGAAATCTCCCATCACTGCTTCACAATACACTGTTTCATCTCTTCAAGTAGCAACAAACAGCTTTAGTCAAGAGAACATCATCGGCGAAGGCTCTCTAGGACGTGTCTATAGAGCAGAGTTCCCCAATGGAAAGGTAATGGCGGTTAAGAAGATTGATAATGCAGCACTTTCGTTACAAGAAGAAGATAATTTCTTGGAAGCTGTTTCAAACATGTCGCGTTTGAGGCATCCAAACATTGTTCCCTTGGCTGGATACTGCACTGAGCATGGTCAACGTCTTTTGGTGTATGAGTACGTTGGGAATGGGAATCTAGATGATATGCTTCACTTGAATGATGAGAGAAGCATGGCCTTGACTTGGAATGCTCGTGTTAAAGTTGCACTTGGAACTGCCAAGGCTTTAGAGTATGTGCTTTGTGACATTTTGTTATGATTATGTCTATAGTCTCTTCCTTTAATCTGAGTTTGGTTTTAAACAGGTACTTGCACGAAGTTTGCTTGCCTTCAATTGTACATAGGAACTTCAAGTCGGCGAATATATTGCTTGATGAAGAGCTTAATCCTCACTTATCAGACAGTGGTTTAGCTGCTTTAAACCCAAACACTGAGAGACAGGTAATAACAATGGAGAGTGAATCAATAAAAAGTTGAAACAGATTTCATGGTTTATATATGTTTTAACAGGTTTCAACTCAAGTGGTGGGTTCATTTGGATACAGTGCACCAGAGTTTGCATTGTCAGGAATCTATACTGTGAAAAGTGATGTGTACACTTTTGGAGTAGTCATGCTTGAGCTCTTAACTGGTCGAAAACCCCTTGACAGGTTTCTTTTCATCTAATACAGACACCATTCAGTTCAAGTTTTCTTTATTAATCCGAATTGTGTGTGTGTGTGGACAGCTCGAGAACGAGAGCAGAGCAATCACTAGTGAGATGGGCTACACCACAGCTTCATGATATAGATGCTTTGTCTAAAATGGTTGATCCTTCTCTAAATGGAATGTATCCAGCTAAGTCACTGTCTCGTTTTGCAGATATCATTGCTCTCTGTATTCAGGTACATAACCATCCCTAAGAAAATGCATAAAGCCCAAATTTATTTCAGAAAGTAACCAACCATTTTCTCTTTTTTTTTTTTTGTTAAAATTTAGCCGGAGCCAGAGTTCAGGCCTCCAATGTCAGAAGTGGTGCAACAGCTAGTGAGATTGGTGCAACGAGCAAGTGTAGTCAAAAGAAGATCAAGTGAGGACCCTGGATTTTCTTACAGGACACCTGAACATGAGCATATGGATATCTCATTTTGAGCAATAGAACTACTCCAAGTTCCAGTCCTCTGGTACTCAAGAGGGAGAAAACTTTTGCTTAATACAAGAGGGACTGATCTAAAAGATGCGACATAGAGGCAAAGAACGCATCGTGGTTCAGACCCAAAAAAGTATAAAAACTTTGTTTTGTGTATTTCGGTTGATGATAATATTAGAGTACATAAGAAGAGTTTCTGTATCAATTTCGATCGTCTTTTTTTCTTCTTTTTTGTCGAATAATCAATGAACCTGAGACTTTTAAGGTTTTTGTTTTTGCCTTGCAGTATTCTCTTCTATCATTTGTTTTCAAGATATGTTAACATGATTAACAAAATGGAAGTTAAAAGACAGATATGAAGTTAATTTTTGTTGAGATGACCCAAAGTCAAAAGCGCTCTTCATGTTTGTCTGTAATCATCAGACACAAAACAACATGCCCACAATAAACAGATCTAAAAGTTAACTTAAAGACCCCAACGGAGAAGTCTATACAACAGACTCTGCCACCATAACTTGTCTTCATCATCTCTCTCATCACAACAAAGACGGACACAGGCAAAGAAAATCCTAACTTACTTAAAATATGCACCAAAGAGCTTACAAGTTATAACTTGCCAACCCTTCGCGGCTTTTACACATGAGAACCTGGTGATTATCTTTTTCTGCGCTTTGTTTCCACCTGAAGACAACGATGCCATTGTTAATATCAGCCACAAGCTTTTGAACACAAACAATTCAGGACCTAATTACTGCGGAACAAAACTTTTATGAAATTATTTTCTCCTTGGTAACTCTAATATCTTAAGTCAAACATATTATTTTGCAGCAACCTGAGCTATGTTAAGCATAGATTAGATCCGGAGAGGACCAAGAACCACAGATTGTATCTTTCTGCACATTTCCACACTAAGGAAGCACCATCAAGTCGGTGCATATTTTCAGTTTTGTAACTTTTTCGTAGATCTCAATTGGAGTCAATGGCATGAAACAGTGCATCATACAGAGCGGTAGAGGCTACTGTTATCTAAGCAATAAAACATCTATACAGGAGATTAGTAAAGAGACAAACGGACCTTGACATCATCAGCTGGAGACTCAGTATACCCGTTCTGCGATTTCTTGACATCATCATCCGAACTGCACTCAGCACATACAAAGTGATCAAGCTTCTTTGCTTCTTCAATTGTCATGGCAACACACCCAGGATGGTACCTACAACATCAAATCGCAACTCCTACCATCAATAACTCGTGAGAAAAGGACTCCACTAACTTTTAAAACGGATACAATAGTCTCTTCTCTGTTGAAACACAAGTTCATAACAAGAAAAATATCAACACTTACCAGTCTTTGCAGCCTTCACATTGCACCATGAGATCGTCTGGATTATACGGCATTTCACACTTGCAGTACCTTCAGAACCAAACATAACCCACAACATTAATAAAAATCACAGAAACTGCAGGTTATTTAAATAACTGATTGCTACTTATCTACTTACACAGCAACTCGATCAGGGGTGAACGCGCCAGTAGCAGCCTTGTACTCAAATCTACAGTAATAATCCTCCGCACCAACGTTTTCAAGCCTAGTGTAGTTCTTGAAGGTGTGAACAATGCATTTCCCCTCAATGGTGTGTCCGCTCTGAACATCGAAATGGTCAGACAAGAAAAGTTCTTTAGCGCCATGGAACTGCCTCCTACCACCAAGGGACTCCTCAGGGCGGTAATACCAACGACAGTGCACCTTCACATTGTTCCTAGCATCAGCTTCGATCTTCTCAACACGTGCCACGTATGGTGGCTTGCCAGCATCAGATGGGCGCATCAACACACAGTCTCCAGCTGCAGAAAAACAAACAGCATCAAAGATTACTTCACAGCTCATCATGCCCCAATACTGAATAAATATACACAGGGATCTAATGACATATCTAACTGACGATCTATAATCTATATATAGTACAGCAAACACCATAAGAAGCTTCTTATGAACAAAAATGTCAAAAGTATGGGTATATAATCAATCTTGTTTACATGGTAAGTAAATGCAAGATCTTTGACATGTGAAAGGCAACATTTTTTCATCAACAGACGTAAGGAGCTATAGTGCAGAAGATGGGAGATGCAATAAAACGATATAATGTAACAAATGAAACAAAGGAAAGGGTTTACATTTCACAGGTAACCAACTAAAGAAAATTTCTTCAAAAACAGACCAAAAAGGTAAGAAAATTTTACATTAAAAAAACCAGCCCAATTGTTTTCAAAACAATTTCACAGATATGTATCTTAGTTTTGAAACAAGGTAAGCTACAAAAAGATCACATTTTTCGCAATCGCATAAACCAAACACCTTCCAAACTAACAGATTACACAAACCATAAACGAAGAACATTAAAAAACAATGGTAAATCTAAGAAAAGCACACATTGGAGCGATAAAGACTCAATATTTAAGCTATCTAACAATCCATCCCTTAGAATACACATACTCAACCGCTAAAAATGCTCAAAAACATGCAGAAGAATGTAAAATTTTAACAAGTGAATCCAGAAGATGATAAGAGACATACCTCTGACAACTTTGTTGGTGCCTTTGATGGTATAAGAGTCAAGCTCCTTCCTCCCTGTTTTGATTTTTGAAGGGACACCGGGTCGAGTTTTCGCCATCGAAGCTTTAACAAAACAGGTAAAGCGATAGGTTTGTGTTTGGTCTCTGTAGCTAGAAACGTACAGAGGAAGATAAGGAAGTGTGTAGATCGAAGGATGGGAGGAAGAGAAGGGAGTAAATCTGGAACCCTAGATTCTCTCTTGTTGGTGGAGAAGATGAGTCATTTGTGTGGGTGATTTTTAAGAGTTTTACTGTTCACAACAACAACTATTTATTTATTTTTGCGCTTTTTATGGTTCTTTTTTTTTTGTTGGTCTTGGTCAATATTTCATTTTATTATTACCCTTTTCTGTTTGAGTGTTTTCTTTTCTATTAAGTAAAAAATAAGATCCGGTGAAATACAAAAGATGGACATAAACCGACTTTTCTGAATTCAAACAAAGCCCATGTAAAAACCCAAAATAATGGAGATTTTTTTTTTTTTTTTAAATAATGGAGATTTTGTTAAATGAGTTGACTCATTTACATATTTAATTTAGATTTTTTTTCATTAATCTTAATCAAACTCAGTTCATTCATTCTAGAAGTAAAATTTACTGGTTCATATAGTTCATTATCATTAAATCCATTTACTTGAGTAGTTTAAAAATTATAATTTGTATGTACTTGTGAAAGTGCCAAGTTGAGATAAGCCATTAGGTTTATTTTGACACCACTAAAGCACCATAAACCAAATCTCAAATCTCAGAACTAATACAAGAACAAGATCACTGAACCAACAAGAGAGCAAAAGAATAAAATATAACTCATGACCAAAATGATGGAAGTCACATATCACAATATCAAGAGGACATTATAGAATCATTACATTACTACCACCTTTTTTGGCGTCAACCAAAACTTTATGAAATCACCCTGATTCGTTTAGACACAAGCCTATTATTGAACTTTAACATTTACAACTGAGAAACAATGCGCACATAATCGTCTTCCTTCCGCTAAGAAGTCTGCAAAGATTTAGAAATATAAAAGAAATCAAGTTCTTGAAAACCAACACTATGGGATTTAATGTCATCAGGATATGGTGCCTACGAAGGCCAATCTGCATCTCTGAGAATGATGTTTAATTTACTAGCTATTGGTAGTCAGAATTAAACCGGACTTGGTGGAATTTTCAGTCACTCACTTCTTTCAACACCAAGCTTAGACTCTCTGCTTTGACTTGGACTTGTGACTGCGATCTCTGTGCCTGATTACCTCATTTGCACTATGCTTGGATCTCTGATTAATAAACCATTAATCTAACCACTAAAATAGGGATAAGAAGACTTCCATAAAACCAGTTCATTTATAGGTTAAAACTTGACAAACTTTCCATTTCTGAAATATGTAAGAACCTCAAAACGCACACATACTCAAACGAAAAACATAGAAACCTAATGATGTCTTTCCCTTCTTGCCATAATAAGCCGATTATGCATTTTTTTTCTTACAAATCACAACATTTTCGGATATCTTTCAGAACAAAAGAAGCAAAAAGTTTCTAGAATTTCTGAATGACTACAGAGTTTGCAAGACCGGCTTGATCAATGGTCTGTAAAGGATCAGTAAGTGGCTTTGGTGGGAACCCCATAACCTGAAGGCTGTAGTTGACTGGATTCCCTGGTCGAGAAAAGTCAATGAAAGCACGAATGTCATTGACCGTGTGATGGTTGTTGAACCTAGCCACCATGCGTGTCCCGTCAGCGAGTCTAAGCTGGATAGATGTGGCTGGAAGAGTTTCATCTACTACAAGACTCTGTGATGACGTTGATGGAACCGCGGCTACATCGGCTAGGTTGCTTAGGTTTGGTAGGGTTGATGAGCTAGCACCGCCTAGAGTCCTTCCCACTCCTTGAAATGCAACCGTAAGTTTCTCACGTTCCTACAAAAAATAAAAGAATGTAACATGTTAAATATACTTTGGTCCCTATATAAGGTTCTAACATGCATTTTGTGATGATATTAACACATATGTCACACTCCAATCGTTATGAATTATGTGTACTCACGGGGCATTTCTCGTCTTTTCTCATAAGATTAACATGTACGGGAGCTCTTTTATCAGCAGGCTCAAGCTCTTTCGGACATTCAGACTTTCTAATGCTCTGCATTAATAAACAAACAACGGTTCAAACATGGGATCATTAGCGAAACGCATATTAACCAAATGAATTTAGTTTTTTTTTATACGTCGAGGAAAGAAGCGTTCTCAGGATCATCCAACTTCCTCAAAGGTCCATCATCAACAGTGAACCCATTAGACCAGAAAACGATATTGTGAATCACAGGCTCGGGTTGTTGAAGAGATGTTGGCACACTTTCTCCTGATAGCAATCTTCCCGTGCCAGTGAAGCTTCTGGAACTTGAAGGACGTTCAAGTGGTCCCTCCACGGCTCCTAGTTGTCTTGCTTGGTTAAATATCTCATCAACATCATCGTGTTGTTTTGGTTCTTTTGTAGGATCCTGAACAAGCATACCACTGCAAAATAAAAAAATATAGAAACAGAACAAAGATCCAATCAAGTTTGCATCTAGTTCACTAAACCTTGGATCCAAAGACAGAGCAACAAAAATTTGAAATATCAAAAAAAATATATTTATAACTGACCTTTTCTCTCCGCCGGTGTAATACTCTTGAGGTCCATCGGAATCACTGTCCGAGTCCGGTCCAGACCTCCGGTTCAGATCGGAGAGTGTACGGATACCACCGGTCCGACCACTAGATGGCTTTGACGGTTTCTTGTCTTTAGAAGACATGTCTAGTCTCTGGGTGCTTTTTCGCTGTGGCTTGATCGAGAAAATAAAAAAAAAAAACACGAAGTTAAGAGAGAGATTAACCGGTAGACACGCTAACTAATGTTTACGCGCTTATAAATCGAGTGAGGTTTACTTGCTTGCTTGAGCCTTGTTAAGTTGTCGCACGCGTGTTCTTATGTGCGCGCGTGTCTTTAGTGGAAACACAAAGGAATAAAAAAAAAATTAATTAACAATGAATTCACCTACTAATTGTATGGTTATGATGTTACTATCGTGCGAGATATAATCATGCGATCAATTATTCTGTACCCCTAAATTTAAATTATTTGTAATATTTCTTGTTTTTTTTGAGATATACTCAATAGCTAATTTAATAGTACATAAATAATCCGTGAATAACATTGGAAGACCTTCAAAGTTCGACGTGAACAAAAGTGAAAAAACAGTGACTTTGAATCGGAAGTGGAACCACTTTAGTCTTGATCACTTTTAAAAGTCGAAAGAATCAAACCAAACAACAAGACCCATGTTCAATTGTCTCTCTCCCAAAATTTACAAAACGATCACTCACCACACTTCCATGGATGAGTCAGCGAGACAAAGCTTATCCTCAGAGAATAATACGACCAATGATGTCTTGCCGAGTGAAGATGAGCTCGATGACCGTCTAAGCTCCGACTCAAAGACCGAGTCAAACTGGAGCTCTGACTCGACAACCTCGACGGGACTGTCAGAGGTCATGCGAGTCTTATCTGATTCTCTACTGAGAACAGAACTGGCGGAGATGGAGATGATCAAGGCTCGCGAGGCAGCAAGGTGGGAAGCTGAGAAGAGAAGGATGGAAATGGAAGTGGAGTTGACTCGCATGGTGCTTCAGACTCATCTGCAAGCAACGACGTCGTCTTTGTTACATATCAAAGAAGAACAGAAGATTTCTCCGTCGCCGAGGAAAAGGAAGAGATCAAAAGTTATAGAAGACGAGTCCTCCTCCATCACAAGGTCAGATACCCTTTTTTATTAATTATTATTATTATTTCTTACCATTAAAGTGATCGCATTAGAGAAACATTAAGAATCTAGCAACAAATTAAAGTTCTGTGTAATGAATGCAGGGACAAGAGTTTAGCTTTATTGAGCTTACTCCAACTTAACCTGATCTTCTCGAACTCACTTACCTGAATAAACTAAAGTGTCAAAGTCAAAAAGATGAACTGGAGAGTCATGACTTACGCTCAGAAGCCGTGTTTACTTACTATATATACTATTATTAGTTGTTATTATGTGTGGTTTACTATATAATGGTTTACCCTTATTTTCCAACGTCCCTAACAGAGGGGAGTCCCTAATGAATTCATTTTAACAATTTACAGGCTATGTTGTGAATCAAATTTAAATATAAGATGTGTCTTTTAGTACCCTCTCAAATTCCATGTAGTGAAAGCAGTCCTTAATCTTTAAGCAATGTTTTTTCTCCACCACTTCACTTCAACAATTCTACTGTTCTTCAAGGTCTTGAGATGGCGTGCCAGCAAAGCATCGTGAAACCTAAGTGACAAAAAAAAGCCTCTTTGCTTAAACCGTTCGGTTCTTTTGACGCCATGCTCATCATCTACACATCCATACACATATTTAGTTTAGCGATAAATGATCCATAAATTACTCAGTATATTAACTGTTACAGACTCTTTCCTCAAAGATTTTATAATAATCAGAATTAGATATTGATTATATAACAGACAGTATTTGGTTAAACTTTGTGGGATTTCTACTTAAAAAGAATTTACTTTTGCAATTTGTTTATATCAAGGAGTTGTAGGCATCCAATTGGTTGAATTAGGCTCTCTGAGCTTATTCATACCGTGAAAGTTGATTGGTCAGTTCAAAGCGTTGATGTAGATCATGAGGATGAAGAAGCCACGGTTGCTGAGCTAGTTGCTCCTTACTAGGAACGACCACTTGATGGTCCAACGTAGTGGTGTCATGTAGATGCTAGCCATCATGGTGTTGCTTTGTGGCTGCATAATGCGCAGTGGTTACATCCGGCTGTAAGTGTAGCTCTAAGGGATGAAAGCAAGTTGATAAGTGAACGGATGGAACATATTTGTTTCTAATTATGTGCATACACTTCTTATGGATACCTGTTTAGCCTTAATAAAGGATGGTCCATTCATTGGTATGCTTTTTACTCTTCTCGAGGATGGAAGTTATTCTTCTTTTGGTGGTCTACCTTGCGTATGGAAATGAAAAGGCTGGTGTTGTTTCCTACATTCTTCTCTGACTGTTAGCAGCTGGTTTTTGGCTGGCTCTTGGCTTTTTGCTTCTTACCTGTTCAACCTGCTGGAGTAAAAGTAGTGATATCTTGTCTATGTTATAAAAAAATTGACACTACGCGCTTATAATAATTTTGATATATCTCAGCAACAAAAAAAAGTTATTATGAAAAGAACTTTATAAAAAAAAAAAAATTCAAAGTGGCTCTTCCAAACTCTCCATCATGTGGCCTATATTTGTCAAGTTACCTTGGTCATCCATTGCTCCTAGATGAAACAAATCCTCCTCACCCCGACAGAGCATTCGAGGGGAAGGAGGATCTAAATATTCAAAAAGTGTCAAGTCATTCACCCCTAGCCTTTTCAAAGTCAAAGCTGTTTTAACAAGGTTTGATCTAAATATCTCAGGAAGCACCCAAGGCGGGAAGTCACTGAAAGTCTTCTCAGTGTAGAGCCTAAAACATTTTCTACCGCCACGTGCTGTTCTCTGGTAAGCACTTGCTTGTGATATTCTGGACACCGACCAGATATCGTCAGTAGTGAAAAAATTATAGTTCTTTTGCTTGGAGAAACCAGGATCAACCACATAAACAATCCCGTCCATGGACAAAGAAGTCTCAGCAACATTGGTGGAGACGATGATCTTTCTCACTGAATGTGGTGTAGGATCGAAGATCTTTTGTTGCACCGCTGATGGAAGAGAGGAATACAAGGGCACAACGGTGACTTGATCTCCAAGACTACTGACAATTCTGCTGCAAGCATGTTCAATCTCTTCTTCCCCGGTCAAGAAAACAAGAACGTCACCTGTTGGTTCACACATGTGAATCTCGATAACTTTGCTTATGGCAGTCTCGAGATAGTCCACCACAGGTTCTTGTGTGTACAAGATCTCCACTGGATGGAGTAGCCTACCAGATGAAGGGACTTTGATGAGAGGCGCATCACTAAAATACTCTCTCTTAAAAGCCTGTAGGGTTGCACTCATCACAACAAGCTTAAGATCAGGTCGGCTAATCAAGGTGCTGTTAAGAACACCAGCAAGTAAATCTGTGGCTAAACTTCTATCATGAAATTCGTCAAGGATAATCACTTTGTATCTCGAAAAGAGAGGATCCACCATAGCTTCCCTCAGAAGCATTACATCAGTCAGGTACTTGAGCACGGTTCGGGGGCTACTGCAATCCTCGAAACGGACTGTGTAACCGACTTCTTCCCCTATCTTTACATCCATCTCTTCAGCCACACGACGTGCAGCGGACATGGCTGCGACTCGATTAGGCTGCGTGCACCCAACCAACCACTGATGATCAGAAGCGCTAGGGGGGTTTTCATCCATCACTGCTTCTAAAATAAACTGTGGGATCTGCGTTGTTTTACCACTACCGGTCTCACCAGTCACCATCACCACCTGATTCTCCTTCAAAGTTCGGACAAACTCTTCTTTTTGCACCCAGACTGGTAGATTCCTACGTTCTTCTTCGCAATACCTAGCACCTGACTTCTTCTTCACCATCATATCGATGCACGACTCCATCTATTCAACAAACAAACAAACAAAAATCCTCACCAACTCCTCCTCCTTGTTTTTGTATTTATAGTCAACAAACCCTATTTTTATTTATTTTTTCAGTGTATTTTGGGAAGAATTTTATTGAAAATTTCCTTCAACAAAACTATATTTTTGTAATGGATAGAAAGCGTGTATTGTATTGATTCACATATCTCTATAATATTATTTGAGAAGTCAGTTTCCTACGTGTCGCGCTCACGTTAACTCTCGCGATGGTTGATTACAAAGATACCCTTACTGAATTATTAGATTTTAAGATTATTATTAATTTTTTTATTTAGTTTCCTTTTTACTTTTTTCCAAAAAAAATATATAATAAAAAGGAAATGTTTCTAAAATTTTAAAAAAATTTAAAAACGAAAATATATGTATATAATATGACTTTATTAAAAAGGAAAGCTCACAAAATAGTAATACCTCCATTAATATATATTTTTAAAAAAACGTAAAATATATATTAAAAATAATAAAAATATATTTGTTCATGAATATTCAAAAATTACCAGTTACAATTTAATTTTTGTAGAATATTATCATTATATTCATTTATGTAATTTTGAATCAAAAAATTCAGTTTATTATTTATTTCATTGTAAGCACAATATATATTAAGTTATACATAATTTAACTATAATATATTTACATATCTAAGACAATAACCAACTGAAATGAAAATAAGAAAATTAATCAAAGTTTTATTATATTTAGAATAAAATTATTATAGCTGAATTCTAAAAATAGATATTATCCAATATACCAAATTGATAACCATATTGACTATTGATCCAAAAAATAATTAAACCGACAATGATATATCCATAGTCATATGTATAATTAGAACAATATAATTTATTAATATATATTATAAATATAAATTTATTCAAAACTAAAACTAAATATCAAGCAACTATTATAAAATTTTATTTTTATGAATATTCATATCCGTGCATGAGCACGGGAAAATCACCTAGTCAAAGTATATATACAAAGTAGAGAAGCTAATCTAAAGAGGATAAGGAATCTAGTAGATAACTACGTACAAGACCCTATAAGTCTTTATCCAAGTATTACACATCATTTTCTCTATAATTTTCCTTTTCTCTATCGTGAACCTCAAGTTTATTTCGAATATCTAGTCATGAAACCCTATTTTCCTTTTCAGTGTATTTTGGAAAATTTCCTTTCAACAAAACGTTGTTTTTCTTTTCTCTTACTTGGATTTTGCAAAGAGTGTTTGTGAAGCAACCTATGGAAGTTGGCTCTTGATGCATGATCTTTTTATTATAATCTCCATATTGTGAATCCATTTACCAAAGAGGTAATCATTCTACCTCCTATGGAGTCACAGCTTGGGATGAGGATGACGAATTTAAGGAGAAGGGAACAAAAAAAAAGATTAGGATGGTATGATGGTATCCTCTTTGTTTTGGATTGACGACAAAACCAAAGACTATATTATATAGTTAGTTATATATGCAACGTAGATGATAACTTGCTTGTGGTTTACTCAAAGAAAGTAAATAACTCGTGGAAGCAATATCCCTGGAGTTTTTGCATGGTTTACAAGAATCACAAGCTTTACTTGTTAAATGACAATGGTGAGCATTTATGCGATTAAACTCTTGTGGCCAAAGTAACAGGAGACGTCCTTGTGGTTCAAAAATTATGGAGATCCGATATCTATGACATGGTCATTCTTTGGTTATCAAGGTTTATTCATCAGGGAATCTGATAGAACACCAACTTTTTTAATTCTTCCTTTGGGCAATGATCAGTCCGTGCTTTTTGATCAAGGCATAACTGTGCTCGCCAATGACACACTGATGGATTCATTGCAAATTCCATCTATATTTCAGTGGCTCTGATCATTATGAAAAAAATACAGAAATGAATTCTTTTTTTTTAATCTCAGGACACACAAGAAGGAGCTGGTGCACACATTTGATTAATCTTCAGCTCACTTCTCTAGAGCTCAATGGTTCTTACCAAGTTTTACACATGCATTATATCTTGATGTTAACAATGTTTTTCTCGCTATGCATGCATGGTAACATGGTTGGTTTTCACTAATTAATTATCCTGATTTTTTTTATTTTGAAATAAAGGTTTCACTTACTTCTACTAATTTCAGTTTAATACTACACCTGATGCAAAAAAAGTTTGAGAAAGTAGAAGAAGAGTTAAAATGCCTATAGCATTCTTAATTTGTATCCAAAAAAAAAAATAAAAAATTATTAATTTGTATCTTCTTTGGTGGGCTATATAGACAGGCCAGGCCCATGAAGCCAATATTAAAACCTAAACCAATGCATTCCTAACTTTAGGTTGGAGTAAGACGGAAACTTGAAACTTCTGAGTCAAGGCGAAAACAACATTTAATCGCCTTGTTGATCCTATTGATAATTAACATCCCCCTTTCGTTTCTGTCATAGAGATGGAAGAGAACCATAAACCCAATTCCCATGACCATCTCATAGGAAAAGACTCACCAGAATCATGGTCAGATCTTCCTCTAGATCTCTTGAATTCTATCTTCGAACGTCTCAGCTTTGTTAATTTCCAACGAGCTAAAACCGTATGTTCGTCTTGGCACGCCTCTTCGAGACAATGCGTCCACATCCCCAAAAGTCAGATCCATTGGTTGATTCTCTTCCCTGAAGACAACGAAAACAACAATAACAATTATCCATGCACGTTGTTCAATCCAGAGGAACGAGACAAACTTTACAAAACACAAGATCTTGGTCTCGAATTTGCAAAGAGTCTTTGTATAGCAACCTATGGAAGCTGGCTCTTGATGCAAACCCCTCTACCTAATCTCTACGTTGTGAATCTCTTTACCCGCGAGAGAATCAATCTACCTTCTGTGGAGTCACAGCTTGGAACGGCAAAGGTGGAGCGAACCCTAGATGGTAATGAGTTACGTACTACAAGTCCCCACGGAATGGTGTATAGAGGTGTTTTTATACGAACCCCTGTGTTTTGGATAGATGAGAGAACCAAAGATTATCTTGTTATATGGGGACTTCGAGACGTGTGTGTAGTTTATTCAAAGAAGAGAGATACGGCCTGGACTCAACTTCCCAAAACATCAGGCTGTCTTGACGTGGTTTACAAGGAATCCAAGCTTTACTTCTTAAGCATGTCTAGTTACTTCTTAATATTCGATTTCTCTGGAGAGACGCCACAACAAATCTTTCAGTGTGGGGTTATTGTGGAAAGACAGCGGTTAGGTCTTTTTGTTCCGACAAAACTAGTAGTCACGGTAACAGGAGAAGTCTTCAAGGCTGAAAAATGGTGGAGGTCTAGGTCTGGAACCTGGTCCTTTCGTGTTATCAAGATTTGTTCACCAGATGGATCTGGATTCCTGAGGAATCAACAACTGATTACTTCTTTGGGCGAAGAGTCAATGCTTTTGGATCAAGGTATCACTATTCACAGAAATGACGGATTCATTAGAGATTGCGAAGAGTCAATACACTTACAGTTTCTATCTTTGCTTTTAATCTCAAGACAAAGAAGACAGAGCCGCTGCACAACTTTGATTGTTCTTTAGCTCAATTCTCTAGAGCTCGTTGGTTCTTACCAAGTTTTACGCAAACATGATTGATCATCTCAACTACGTTACTGAGGAAACTAAAGTGTTTATAGGATAAAGAAAAGCTCGTTTCAAAGTTAAACTTTATCACATAAAAATGATGTTTATTGTAATTGTGCTTATAGTATGATTCATACAGTATGAGACATCCTTATTTTTTCTATATACAGTATATTGTCCAAACATTACCAAGGACTTATACGATCAAGACTTCACATGGTTAGAACAAAATGAATATTTCGTGAATGTGGTGATTTCAATGTATTGGCAGGATAACTTGATTATTGTATTTTAATTTGCATATTGTTTTTTTTAGTACATACACAAGACTTGAAGAGGACCACCGTCCAGTTCACTTGAGATCGAACTCAGTTCAGTGAATGTACTCAATACACTTGAGTATATTCAGTTCTGATATGCGATTCGTTCTTGGTTTATTGTGTCAAACACGTTCGATGTTTCAACAAGCAAAATTGGAGAAGGGATGGAAAGAATAAGATAACAAGGCACAATCGGTTTAATAATGTTGAATAGTGTATTTGATTGTGTGGTTGGATGTATAGTTATAGCATAGTGATGTACTTGATGAGTTAACTTTCACCCAAACCAAGACCTTTTTTGTCATCCAGTAGTTTTTGATTGGAATTATAAGGCTGGTGTTACACAATACCTTTTTCTTGGATAGTAAACTCAAATTACAAATCGTCTCATCATAAATTTGTAATTTGTTTCCTCATTATACGATTGAAGTTTTAGCAAAGACCCTTTACCTCCAGTAAATTAGTAGTTATGTAACGGATATAAATTTTTTATCTACCAAAAAACTAGTTTACTTGTTCATGATTCTAACACATAAAAATTGGAGAAACAGTAGTTACATACTTACATTTTAACATTTTATATAGAAAGCATCCTCTTCTTAATTTACATGATATATAATATAAGCAAACACGAATATTTGCTCAAATCCACACATCGTACTAACACAGCAAAAGTACCAAATTAAAAAAATAAAATAGACCCTTTTGAAACTATTAATAGGGCTTTTACTATATAACAGAAAACAAAGTCAATGAACTTTCTTAACGAAAAGATTACGAAAGCCAAACAAACCATTAGGATTGGGATTATTAACACTGGCGATATTATTATCATCATTCCCAATGTTACTACTTCCACTCTGGTCGTTTCTGCAACTTAACCGGCTCCGATAACCGATGCACATAGGCACGTTCAAGTTTATGACTTTTGCTTTATTGCTCTCTATTCCACTTTTACCCCTACGCGCCTCGGGAATCTCCCTTTTACCCACAACCCGACCCATCGACTCGGATATCGTTTTCCCTGTCGGAGCTCCACTTCCACGTCGGACTTGCCATACCGGACTGTTCCGACCAAGATGCACGCCGTTACGACCGGGACTGCTAGGCCATTTTCTTGACTTTGACTCTCCGGTGGAGTTGCTACGAGAACACGGCGCGCTGCTGACTTTCCGGGTCGTCGGAGCTCCGAACGACATTCTGGGTCGGGTCACGTTGTTACCAGCGGATCTGCTTCTTGAAAACGGCCAAATGTTGATATTCAGCTCCGTACCGGGACCCGGACCGGAACCAGAACCAGAACCAGAACCCGAACCCGAACCGGACTTCTTCTCTTTCTTCTTGTTTTCTTTCACCTTCTCTTTCTTCCCGACCGGTTTATGTTCTGTCTTCTTGAATATATCTCTCCACCGCTTCGAAACCGTCGGTTCTCTGGTCAACTCGGATCCTAAACAGGGTTCAGGTTCGGTTTTCTGCTCTGTTATCAAAACATCGGTCGAAGGAGATGGATCCGGTTCGCACTCCGAGGCATTCGGGTCGGGTTGAGGCTCGGATTTGATGGAGAGGAGGTGAAGCGGGAGAAGAACGCCGTCGTGGAAAAGCTCGTCGGCGGAGAGAAGATCTGATTCGGTTTGAAGAAATGAAGAGTTTGTAATACGCCAGAACTCGAACTCCGGTGAGTTGGAGTCGCAGCTGCTCCTCCGTCGTTGGCTACCGCACGGAGAGAGAGTCTCCGGTGGAGGTTTACTGCTAATGCTCGTCGGACTATCCATGTTGCAGAGAGAGAGAGAGAGAGAGACTTGTTGGAGGGTTGAGGTAGATATATTAATGAAATATATAGAGAGAGATAAATATGAGCAGGTGCAATGTGACCTTATATGCAGAGTACATTAATGAGGGGAAATTATGTACCATATCATATTTTTCCTTTATTTTAGATTGCTTGTGTAATATTTAAATTAAATATTGATTGAATTTGTTTATAACTGGAAAATATCTCCAAATTATTTAATTTTTATATTTGTTTCATTTATTGGAGTTTATAAAATATTGAACATGAAATACAATACAATTTTAACTAACTATTTATTTTTCATCACTATTTGTAGATGGATTAATAATTTCCAAACAATTTTCACAAGATGTTAATTTTTTTTGTTGCAGTAAATTATTGTGGGTGCTAATTTTACTTGGGATGGTTACCATTTACATTATACTATTTTTTATAAATATTAGAAATTGATAAAATTCTGGATTTTGAATTGGCTAAATTTAAAATATGATAAAATCGATAAGATAATAATTTTGAGAAAATCTTATATAAACATATAGTCACAACAAAATTATAAATTAATAATTCATATATATAATTCATATAAATAGAAACAAAATCTTCAATTACTTGTATTATATTAACAATGGATTTTATTTTTTCGTAATATTTATGTATATTATGATAATTGTAAATCTATATTTAAGATCACATTCAAATTCTATGAATCATATATATCAAATAATCTAATAAGAATATTTTTGATTTTTAAAAATTTAATTAATATATTTGGTAAACCATTTTTTTATGATTTTACTATAAATTATAAAATATAAATATTTGTTTTTTATAAATTAATAAAATATGATAATTGCAACATTGTTAAATTATAGAATTTTTATAGTATACAGTTTGTAGTTAATATCACACGAATGGATTGATATTTATATAATCTCAGGGTATAATATGATGTATATAGTATATGTGTATATATTATCAAATAAATCGTCATACACATTTTCCATTTTCCTATTGGTTTTTTTTCCTTTTCAACTTTGCTTTTTTACTTATTATTAGTTCACCATTAATACTTAGTCCTCGACACCTTGAAGCTTTCCTCTCCATCTATATACGACCCAACTCATTAACTCTCCTCACCTAACATGATTTTAAGCAAATATAGTCCATAAGATCACTTCTATATAACAAGAGACAAGCTAACCAAACTATAGGTTTTCGTATGTAAATTGCCAAATTCATATTCAAAATCCAGCTCATGATAAAACTCTTCAGGCATACCTTACGCTAAACTACAATTGTTTATTTCAAAAGTTGTTGAAACGACTATTAACATTCTATTTATACTTTCCAATAGAAACGCTATACTTCTAAAACAAATACTGTATCCTTCGTATTGTTGTTGTTTTATTTGTTAACTTAACCTTTGTATTGCATTTCGCTTAGACTTATTTTTTAGTTTATATACACATGAACATACGTGTGGAAGGCATAAAATAAGATGGAGAATAGTAATCCCACTCAAATTTATTCCTGGACCCCTCGGAACTTGATATTTTTTCGTTTCTTGATTAATGTTCTCCGAGAAAATAGCAAAACGAAAGGTAACTTTATGGATTACAAGAATGAAATTTGTAAACTGAAGTTGACCCTTTATGATGTTTAAAATCTTCTGCAATTATCATTACCCTGAAACCCGGAAGTCATTTCGTTTTTCATTTCGTCTTATTTTGTTTTCTTTACCACACAAAGTTATTAGTAGCCTCTATACAAATATGATGTCATTGTGATGTTGGTGATACAAAGTTCAAATTTTCAAAATTTTAATTATTTACATTTTCTATAAGTTGTCTAAAATAATGAGAAGAACAAACCACATTCCTCGACCGCATTTCATGGAAAATAAAATAGCAAAATACTTAGGGTATTCTTTAGCACAAAGTGCTTAAGAGTTTTGTCAACTGTATCTTCAACCACCAAGTTATTGACGTATACGCAGACTATACACATTCCTATTCATATACGTATGTACACCTATCATTAACAAAAAATCTACAAACCTTTCTTTTGCTGTCAAAACTGATAAATTCTATCGATACAGTGTGTAAACTTAACAAATAGATTTTACTTCCACCAGTTTTTTTAATAAGTTGTAATTACGTTTGATATTCTTCTTGTAGCTAACGAATAATTTTATTCTTTTGTTTGGTTATGTTCTTTTGTCTTGCCAACTTCTGTATTTATTTTTCTTTTTGTCAACCTTGACATGTTTTGTTATATTTACGACACCAATATATATAAATAAATTAAATACAAGCCACAAAGTATTATGAAAAGAATACACAATTTAACGATAAAAGAACAGCCAGGAGAATTAAACGGGCCAAAACGAAGCCCATTATTAGATGAATACAAATAGTAACCGGACGTAATTGAAGGGGACCCACACGTATTAAACGCTTTTAGCGCATACTGTATTGTTCTGCTTTTTCTGCTGCAGCATTACGTGGTTCACCAATGGCTGTGAACTTAACTAAGTTCACGAAACTGTCACTATGTTTTGTTTTATTGTTTATATACATTATAAATAAAAAAAATATCTACCACATTAACATCATCATAAATCATCATTTATAAGTTGATTTACAAAACCAGCACAAAGATGGGTATTAATAAATAAAAATTTGCTGGCAAAGAAAAAAAGGATAGAAATAATAGCGAAGAGATTTTGTTGGTTCGTTTATGTTTGGAAACAGACATAAGATAATGTAAGGCCATGTGACGGATAACATTATCTCGCACTCATTTAATGACGTGGGGTCTCTGATCACCAAATGTCATAAATACCCCTAAACCCTCTTATCTTTCTCCTCTGCACGCAGCTTCGACGTTACATGGATTTGGTATCTGAGGTTTTCTCTGTTCATCATCCGTACACTGCCACCATGTTACAACTTCAGAGCAATCTTTAAAAGTTGTCTAGCTCAAAGTTTTTATTTATTTAATTAGAGCTTTAAAAGACTCTTCTTTTTGTAACACTAGAGTAATATTATATTCGTATTTGGATAATAATGCTAAACGGAACTGAAATTTGATAATTGACGGGCCCATATTTATAAACGGAGAAGGCTTTTCTTCGTAGGTCCTTACACAGCATGCTCATGTATTTTTGTTTGATTTTATTGTCAACAAGTCGTATTTGTCGAACTAATCACAAATCTAAAGGTATAGTTTGAATGTTATTTTGGTTCTATGCTATTGGCCCTTTTATACTCAATCATCTGAACAAATACTTCATTAATCGATAGTCGATATTACATACATATTTTTTTTTGAAAAAAAATATTACATATATAAATCAGATAGAAAGAAAGAACCATCTCAACAAAACATGTTTTAGATTATCAAAAAAAAAAATGTTTGCATATGTTATTTTTACTAATTCCAAATTTAACAATTTCCACTCCACCATTGTTTAAAATTCCCAAAAAAACTTTGATCATTAAACTGTTGATGTTTTTGTTGTTTATCTATATTTGTATTAACAAAACTAATTTACTGTAAATGTAAGGTAGGGTTTTGGAGTTGTGTCCAAACTTCAAGTGGTGCGAAAAAGTCGTATCGTTGTATGGATTCATTGACAAAGAAATATCATAACTCACGTGATGATCACGTTATCATTCTCTTCAATTCAACGACTATATTCCATAATACCAAACAAAATAACGTGTACAACCTCTGAAAGATGTTCCCAAATAAAATAAATCTCAATAATGCAAACTAAAACTCGAACCGTAGCCCTAGCATGTGATACTGGTACTACGGACAGTCACGTCACATTTTCATATATGTAAATAACTAAACATCGTTGAAAAGTTAGTACACCAAACTACGTTTTAATAATTTTTACCTCAGTTTCAATTATCCTTTTTTTTCTTGGTAAATTTATATTTATCATTCTCGAATTCACGACGTGTGTCAACTATTTTTACAAGAACTTGTTTACCAGATCTTTTTTTATTTACCAGATCCCTTTTTATATGATTTCTTACACTTTCTGACTCCAGCAATAATATATTTTACATCCAATAATAATATATCCTCGCTTTTTTTTTTTTTTAACCTCAAATTCATTTTTTTCACGCTAAATCTTATCTCATATTCTCTTCTTTTT